TCAAACTATCATTACGTAACAATTAATGTGTATATAATCCTTACCTTATATAGAAGTGTTCAACGTTCATCATAAACAGCCTCGTAAATTTCAGCGACGGTAGAACGCAGCTCGTACGCCTGTTCTCTGCTGTCGTATACAATGTCTATTGGGTATATGATAGAGTTCAAATTTTCCCACCAACTGCTGTCTACAACTGCACGGTAGAACGTTTCTCTTCCTTCTACTTTACGGAATTCCATTAAAAGAACCTCGTTTGCTCGAATTTTTACAACTCTTCCTACGAAGACCACTGCATCCTCTGCGCACGTCGAGACACTGTCTACAAGACCAACCATGTCGCCCACACATATTTGAGAATGTTGAGGTTCTACGGGGCACGAAGATTCCGCACAAGATTCCACCCGAGACTTCTTGGAAGAGGTCGCTTCTGCTACACTTTTGTTAACCAAATCGAGACTTAGGAACGTCCGGTCTTGCCGCGAAATATCACAGTAAGTCGTTTGTTGGTGTTTCAAAGAATGACGCATTAACACTGCCAAGCTTTCACGCAGTCGGAGACTTTCTGCCTCTGGTAATGACAATACATGTGTCACTAAAGCATGACGTAATCTGGTTGTACCTGCACGAACGTGCACTTCTCTCTCAAACAAATCGCCCAAGTATAATGTAAAGGATGATGATGTGAACGCCAAACCGGTTGCGGTCATAAACATGAATGAATGAGATTTGCCACAAAGAAGATCTGTCCTCTTTCTAATGTATTCTTTCACGTAGGGGACAAGCCACATGGAGGAATCTATTTCAAATTTTGAGGGCCCATGACTTCGAAGATTTTTGAAATCATTTTCGTACAATGTGAATTTGCCCTCATCAGCAGATACAACGAATACATTGCACTTAGTTTTCCAATCAAAATGAAATTCTTTTCCTTCCACGCATTCTTGAAATAGTTGCAAAGTACGTATCTCTTTCGAACGACCACACATGCTCGTAACGTACAGCGAGATCAGAACAAAGTCATGTAGGATTCGTGTATGTCTGGGAGAACCTCGATACGAGTCGACTTTATCCTGCAAGCTTGTGATGGTGTCTAAAAGGTGTTGGAACATGAACGTCGATGTCTTATTACCACACAGACCGGCTTTAGTCGCGAGACGGTGACTTTGCTGGCGTTGTGACAACTGCCGCTGTACATTCTTCAAACGTACCAACTGGACGCAAGAGTCCATGTCCTCACTAGCTCGATGAATGTATTTAGCAAGATTTATCAACGCTGTTATTGTCCGTACAACGGTCGAAATGTTAAGGTGCCGAAAGTCTAGTTGGTAAGTAATATATGCCTGTACGACGTCAACGTCATTTACAAAAGTGAAATCTAACTTGCGTTCGGGATATTTGATACGACAAAAGTTGAGAAAACATTTCACTCGCTCAAGAAATTTCCTCATTGTTGAGGCTGAGAAGGCACTACAAGTTCTTAATGGATTCACCGTTAAGGTGTAAAAGTCACTCAGCCCATCAAGTTCCAATTGCAACTCAGGGCATGTGTCCTGCCTCTTTAAGCATCCTATTTTAACGGATGAAGTTGCCTTACAAGAATTTGAAAGGTCATCAGAACTACTACAGTTCTTAGCTGAATTTGATTGTGGATTTTCTGCGTTTACATCCTGTAAATTGTTGGAAGATTCGTCAGTGGAAGTACTTGAAATGTTCATAATTGTACTGCAGTTAGCTGAACTTAATTGTAGAATTATGAACATTTCAAGTCGCATCAGAAAGATTTTCTGCGTTTGCATCATGTAAATTGTTGGAAGATTCGTCAGTGGAAGCACTTTCAATTTCCATAATTGTACTGCAGTTAGCTGAATTTAATTGTAGAATTTCTTGACTCGTCGCATCAGAAAGATTTTCTGCGTTTGCATCATGTAAATTGTTGGAAAATTCGTCAGTGGAAGCACTTGTAATGTCCACAATTGTTCTGGAATTAGCTGAATTTAATTGTAGAAGTCCTTCGCTCATCAGATCCGACGGATTGACTAGTGCGTTAGCATCATGTAAATTGTTGGAAAATTCGTCAGTGCAAGCATTTGAATCGTACATACTTGTACCGAAATTAGCTGAATTTGAATGCAGAATTTCGTACGGGAAATCATCCGGTAAAACTATGTTAGAAACTGGAACGTTCAAATTGGACGGAGTTGCGTTGAACGTATTAGGAGGTTCTCCAATATTCGTGCAGGAATTAATGGGCGGAAGGCAAACATTCACAATAGATGACGCAGACACGGAACTTAATTGTGAGCGGTGTTTCTTATTATACTTTCGTCGGGTTTTTGAATGTTCGACGAGTTGAAGCAAATTATCTGCTGAAATCAGAAATCTGTACGGCATTAGTCCAAGCGCATTCAAATGCTGACGTTCCAATGAATTTGTTCTGATGGCAGATGTTCCAATGTTTCGCAACCAAAGCCTCACAGTCGATTGAGGAACTTTGGGAAAGCAAGTTTCTAAAATTTGTTGGAAGACGTAATAGCTCTGGTCGTTCCTTTTGAAGACAATCAATGATTTTGCTGCTGGAAGTTCGCCTAAAAAAAACCGAGCACCATTACAATGCGAAACACACATTTTCTAACATGCGGACACCGGTAAGTGCCAAGCTAACTTTACTGTAGAATACTTCAGAAGCGAACAAACAGCAGGCATGTACTCAAATTTCGAGCACAAAACCGAAATTTAAGTAGATGCTCGCGATCTGTAAAACTAGCTATACTAAAATTAGGGTTAGGTTTAGTGTTTTTGGATTCTTAAAAGATCACTAGCTGGACAAAAGAATAGAACGGAGTAGAACGGTATTGACCGTGAACTCACAAAATATTCCAGCCCGCGTGACACTTTAAAGATGTCAGGTAATACCATTGTTGTGAAAAAGCCTATGGTGAAAACTAAGTCGTAGCACCAATAAGCATTTTTCAACAGCATGGGAAAAACCATATGACAAATGATGGGATAACATATACAGAAGCGACAATAAACCTACATAATAATAACAGTTCACGAAAACTTTATATTGATAGAAAAATTAACCCTATAACCCCTATTCGAGTTATGGTCCTAGTTAGGGTCAACAAGATCGCTAGATTCTCAGGGCAAAGTGTTCTTTTTACGAATCGCTGGGCGATAGGGTTAATTTTTTCTATTAATATGATATTCTGCTTGTTGGCCGCTATGCCCTCGAAATATACTGAAATCCACGGCCAGCAGTGGCCTGCCCTCAACCCCAGACTACAGTACTTAGGCGTATGATTTGTAAAATTGGCAATAATTTCAAAATAATATTCAAATGCACCTTTTCGTCCTTTTCGTCAACCAGAATCATGTATTAAAATATCCATAGTTTTGTTTGGCATTTTTTTAATATTGTTGCTGTTTTGTATATCTGTTATTTGAAACTTCAAAATAGCAACTAAATAAAATTTTCAAACTGGCCTTGAATCTTGATGCCGTGAAAAACTTAGTAACATTCAAGGACAAACTGGCCTTGCCTTTATTTTTCTCTAATTCAAGGCCTGAACCATGCAGTAAACCATACAAACTGGGCGAGGAATATTAATGTATAAATTATGGGGACATCGCTGGAAATTTCGACGTTCGACTCAATACATATACTCAATACATATTTCTCACGTTTGACTAAAATTTTAAGTTAGTACACAATTTTGATACGCCTATGAAGATGTTAAATTAAACACGCAGATGTTAATCGACGCGTTATATGTTTTGGGGTTCAACAACGGACATTTATTTAAATTTTTTGGGTCTGATAGCAATGTCCATGTTTACATATTAGAATTCCTCGACTCGTATGAATGTACTTAAAAGGGCCATAACATGCAGGCACATTTAAAATGTACTTCCTATGGTGAAACAATTAACAGATAATGTAAACTAATTTGAAAACTACTTACCAGAAGTCGGTTGGGTTAGGATCGATGATGTTGCCATTTCGCGAGATGCTATAAACAAAAAAGCAATCATTAATACGTTTGAAATTTGATCGATAGAATGAGTTGTTTCGCGTTCACACTTGCGCGCACATACACTGTATGTCCCTAAAAGCTTAGAAACTATAACTACGAAAATTAATTGTACACTGAGTTATACATTCTAAATTCTCTCACCTTAATTGCCAAAAATCCTTCGAACAAGTTCGTTGAGCAGTAATAAATTGTCCGTTCGCTGGTTGATTCATCTGTATTTATACTCTAAATTAAGGGAATAAAATCTTTAAATCATACGTCATGTTTTGAACACAGAAAGTTCCTTACGCTAGTGACGTTTAAGGAGTGTCTTATTTTCGTCAGTGTTCCCTATTCGCATTTTCTGAAACGTTCTGTATCGACATAACGATACGCGTTTGCTGACGCGCAATTTGTGCTTCTGATGCGTCTCGCCCAACATCGCGATTAATCTAGAAGTTTCTCAATTAATTAACACGGGATAGTACACACCAGTTTTCGTTGTATATAAAGCGACGCAAAACAAAGCATTCGCACAGCGCCAATGAACTGTTTAGCATGAAAAGTATATTAAAATTTCATGTATGATATAGAGGCGAAGAATTACCTCTCAAATTCAGTGTGAAGGTTGTAGATTTTCGCCCGGACAATTTACAGGTTACGTTGAAAAAGGCATAATTGGAAGACAATTTACAGGTTACGTTGAAAAAGGCATAATTGGAATTGGTAAGTTACAGTTTCAAATATATATATATATTATATATGGTAAGTTACAGTTTCAAATATATATGTATTATATATATATATATATATATATATATATACTTAAAACACACTCACTTTTATGTAAGTTACAGTTTCAAATATATATGTATTATATATATATATATATATATATATATATACTTAAAACACACTCACTTTTATCTCGGCTACATTGCCAAAATGTAGCTCATAAAACTTTACGTTCAGATCGCTATATCTACTCAAATTTCGAACGGAAATTGCACTCAAAGCGATCAGAAAATTGTTAGATTGTGGCAAGCGTCGTATTATGTTACAGTACTAACACATTGCATCTTAATTTATGTCATTTAATAGATCATTGTTGCAGTATTAAGCTTGCTGAGTCAGGGAAATAATGGATGATAGAACCAACGTTTCAAAGTTTTGGGAAGATAATTATTGCATAGAAAAAGACACGAAAGATTTAAATTGTCCAACCCCAGAGGAAGTATTTTCTCATTTCCAACAAACCAGTCAAGCGAGACACCTTAGCTTGGATTCATTCAAGGTTAGTTTTAGTTTTAACAGCTTTATCATCGTATAAATATTAACAGATGAACTCCAACAGAGCAAAGCCCCAATTGAACTTCGCAGACTACAACTACAGTTAAGATTTATGTAAAATAAATGAGACATGCGGTTCTGATAGTGTCATGACGGTTTAGATACTGTTGAATCGCCTCTACAAATTAGGATAAACTAAGTACAAGTTGGTAATTCATATAAAGAGTCAAACTTTATAGGTAATGGCTAAGTACAAGTTGGTAATTCATACAAAGAGTCAAACTTTATAGGTAATGGGCTTTAATAGCCCTTTTGAAAGCTAAATTAGTATCTGTCTCTTTAATTTCCCTAGCAAGGGAATTCCATGCTCTAACAACCCTAGGAAAATACGAGTTATTGAAGTAATTCGTCCTAAATTTAAATTCTACAAAGTTATTAGGATCATGCGATCTAATTAAGTACTTAGTCTCGGGTTTTCTTTGAACAAAAATGTCTAAGTTTAAGTGATACTGCCCAAGTACACATTTGTGGAAAAAAACTAAATCGCATATATCTCGGCGGTACTCAAGAGGAAGTAATTTAAGTTTCGATAACCTTCCTTTGTATGTCATGTCTTTAGGATAAACTTAGTTGCACGCCATTGTACGTTTTCGAGGAGCAGTTTTGATTGACCTGGATTGGTGACAACAGCTGAGAGCAATTCTCAAGCTGTGGTAGGACCAATGAACAGTATAAAGTAAAGTCTTCCTTGTATCGGGATCTTTCAAATCTTTGCATACACGTTTAATCACACCGAGAACTTTGTTTGCCTTTGAAGTAATGTTGGAAATGTGCAAACAATTCAAATAATCAGAAACAATGATTACATAGGTTACATCATATATATCATATACTTACTGAAATGTCATCTTTAATTAACTTGTTTTGGAAGTACACGTCCTACAAGAGAAAAAAAAAATGAAAAATATATCCATTGTTTTGGAAGTACACGTCCTACAAGAAAAAAAAAATGAAAAATATATCCAAAACAATTCATCCAAGTCCATTTTCAAACTTGCATGGTCAATTAAGCATGAACTTGCAGACTAGTTAGTAACGAGAGGCTAGATGGGAGTTTACACTTGGAATTTATGGCAAGAATATAATCGTAACATAATTATTTTTAATTACTTTTGTATATAGGTCATCACATGTGATCTGGGAAAAGGAATAAAACTGAACAAGAAACGACGTAAGAATCAAAAACGGTTTTATAATGTAACTTCAAAGAGACCAAGAATTGAAACAGAGGATGTGGATGATACAAGCCAATTAAATACTGTACATGATGACATTGAAACTACCTGCAGTAAGGTAGATAATCAATTACTTGACAGCTATCTACAACACCAAGAGGAAATGCAAATCCAGGCAAAAACTTCATCGGCATTGAAAGAAAAGATAAAAGCACCTTCAACAAGAAAACAGATGTTTGACGTTTTGAAAGGTAAAGGTTTATACAAGAAATTTCCTCAAAGTCATTTCAAGAAATTCGAAAGATGGCTGAAATCCCCTTCTGGTGGACAACTAAAGTGCACAGAGCAAATTGTTAGCGAAGTTAACAGGTAATTATATGTACATATACAGCATAGATATTCAAAGCATAAAAAATTTATAACAACATATTGAACGCTCTCTGGTTTAAAATATTTAACAAGTTTTCTGCTGCAGCCTTCAATGTGCAATTTACAGTGAGATGTGACAACGGTTTAGAATAACATATACTGACAAAAACTGAAGGCTACATACTAGCTGGCAGCGGAATTTAGCTAATTAAATATTTTAAACCAGAGAGCGTCCCATGAAAGCAAGCAATTAATTCCATTTCTATATATAGGTACCTGTATTTTTGCAACCGTGAGAAAGCAACATGGAAACATTTACTCGATCAGAAACTGTTTAACAATTATTTGATTCTAACCAAAGAAGCGGGCCTGGGGCCGGACGGTCTAAAAACAAAGGTTGAAAGAGTTACAATTGCACTTAAATTTCTTGCCCATAAAAAAACAAAGCTTCGTCAAAAGTGTGATAGCAAAATAGCCGAGTACAGGGGATGGATGAAACCATTAGCAAAACAAAAGAAAGTTTTGCGAATGAAAAACTCGTGGCGTGATGAATTGTGTGGTTTCAACTTAAACATGGAGGATCTCGACACCGCTATTTCAGAAGAGACAATAAACCGGTTTATTATGATCATGAAAAAGGCAATGTCAAATGAGAAATTAACCCAAGAGGAATATCGTGTCATCGTCGACACAATTATAACAATAACAATAACACAAGAAAGTGCAATAAGGCCCGGAGCTTTTCAGTTCATGACCTTAACGGAACTAAACAATCCTGTCATATATATATCACCTACCGATGGAACAATATACAACATTGTCTTCGTTCTGAACCACAAAACATTCGCGACACATGGCCCTCTCGGTGTACCCTTTGCCGAAACATCGTGGGTCCAGTTGCACAACTACTTGAAGTATGTCAGACCACAGGTGAAACCACAGTTACCACACCAGGAACTTGTATTCTTGAATGCGTCTGGAACCATGATAACCAAACCTGGAATGGCAGTGACAAAAGTGACTAAAATGCATGACAAACACATTACGACAACAAAGATTCGACATGCCATAGCAACCGCTGGTAATGAACTCTTGACAGACGTTGAAAGGAGGGCAGTTGCGAAGGGCATCGGCCATACCATGGAGGTACATAATAAAGTATACACTGACTTGACCATTAAAAATGTACATGCAAGTATCGAAGGGCAGAAAAAACTCCATAATAAAAAAAGCCGTAAGACTCTATGAATGAAATTACTATAATAGTGCTTGTTTAGTTCCTTATAAACATTAGTGAATCATGTACAGATCTGAATTAGTGAACTCACATACAAAATTATCAAATTGACAAAATTGTCTGTGTCAATAATGCTTTTCTGGTTCACAATTGTAAATTAATATAAACTAGAGTAAGTTTCAATTCAAAAAAGTTCAAAGATGCTAAATTTGGGCAATGTTTACGGACAGAACGAACTTGACATGGTCTTTAAAAACACATGGAAGTTTGTGCACTATAAAAATGTTTTTATACCTTCACAAATAGCATGGAAAATAAATACAGCAAATATGACATATTCCTTACCATATTAGCGTATGTTTTCACAAATAAAATGTACATTTGAAACGAAATATAAAGTGCATTTCATCGTTGTGTTAATTTCACCTTGTTTGTTTACATATGAAACACTAGTGCCAGCCTCTTTGACCGTTGACTTTTGTAAGCTTACAGAAGTCCTATAATTCAAAAACCTGCCAACGAAATGACCCAATTCGCTCCACGAGACGTCCGATTTTGAATTAAAACGGACAGAAATTATCAAAATATACACAACTTCAATGAAAGACCTACTTTCGAAGCACACATAAAAACGATTTGTATAAAATAAAGTATGCAGAGGCGATACCGCTGCCTGAAAATGTTTCGGCTCCCTTTAAGGCTTGGCCACCAAGCACAGAACTATATATTTACCTGGACTGAAGCCCAAAGGCCTATATATTCACTGGACTGATAATCAACGTTCTATATAATTAACTGGACTGAGTTCATGAAATTCCTGTCATTTTCACAGCTGTGAATTAGCTGTTTCTAAAATATTCTGGCTTATAAAATTCCCTCATAACAGTGACATGTTTTTGATGCCATCATAGGCCATTATCATGAGTTATCGTTCCAGTTTACTTATATTTCAATGGTTCAGACTCAACATTGTGAAATAATTTTGATGACAGTTTCATTATAGAATAGCTGGTCATGTATCACTATATGTAACCAAGAGACTATTGGAATATTGCCTCGCACAAACCGTTAAAGACCATGACATGTGTTCACATTTCGAACAGCTATATTTGTGAAGTAAGACATACAAACTGAATATCTAACACTCATCTGCTTCGCAATTGTAAATTAATATAAACTAGAGTAAGTTTCAATTCAAAAAAGTTCGACACATGCTATAAAATTTGGGCAATGTTTATGTGAACGATCAACTTGACATGGTCTTTAAAAACACAGGGAATTTTCTGCAACATAAAAATGTTTTTATACTTTACAAATAGCATGGGAAGTAACTACAGCAAATATTACATATTGCTTACCATATTAGCGTATGTTTTCACAAATAAAATGTACATTAGAAACGAAATATAAAGTGCATTTCATCGTTGTGTTAATTTCACCTTGTTTGTTTACATATGAAACACTAGTGCCAGCCTCTTTGACCGTTGACTTTTGTAAGCTTACAGAAGTCCTATAATTCAAAAACCTGCCAACGAAATGACCCAATTCGCTCCACGAGACGTCCGATTTTGAATTAAAACGGACAGAAATTATCAAAATATACACAACTTCAATGAAAGACCTACTTTCGAAGCACACATAAAAACGATTTGTATAAAATAAAGTATGCAGAGGTCATACCGCTGGTCGAAAATGTTTGGGCTCCCTTTAAGGCTTGGCCACCAAGCACAGAACTATATATTCACCTGGACTGACGCCCACAGCAGCTATATATTAACTGGACTGATAATCAACGTTCTATATAATTAACTGGACTGAGTTCATGAAATTCCTGCCATTTTGACATAGTTTTTTACACAGATTATAAAATGGCTAGGACCGTATAACTTCGTCAGCACAACGATACATGTTAGACTCCTAAACCACCTTGCCCACGCGCCCACTCTCCACAATCACTTCCCGGGGGAGGGCGTTTAGAGAAGCAACAATTTGCGCGTTCCCAGCTAAGGCATTTTTAAGCTCAAGTTACGTAAAAGTTGCGTTGTGTTTCTAGGCGTAGGAAACGGGGTTACCGGCCGTTAGTCCCGCGAAACTCTTATATGTTTATGACTTAGAAAATACATGAAGCTCATTGGATTGCTCTGTAACCCTTCGATACGGCGAGCGTATTTATATAGGCAAGATTTTCGCGTGATTTTAAAGGGATTTTTACCCCAAAGTTACTCGAAAGTTGCGTTGTGTTTCTAGGCGTAGGAAACGGGGTTACCGGCCGTTAGTCCCGCGAAACTCTTATATGTTTATGACTTAGAAAATACACGAAGCTCATGGGATTGCTCTGTAACCCTTCGATACGGCGAGCGTATTTATATAGGCAAGATTTTCGCGTGATTTTAAAGGGATTTTTACACCAAAGTTACTCGAAAGTTGCGTTGTGTTTCTAGGCGTAGGAAACGGGGTTACCGGCCGTTAGTCCCGCGAAACTCTTATATGTTTATGACTTAGAAAATACACGAAGCTCATGGGATTGCTCTGTAACCCTTCGATACGGCGAGCGTATTTATATAGGCAAGATTTTCGCGTGATTTTAAAGGGATTTTTACCCCAAAGTTACTCGAAAGTTGCGTTGTGTTTCTAGGCGTAGGAAACGGGGTTACCGGCCGTTAGTCCCGCGAAACTCTTATATGTTTATGACTTAGAAAATACATGAAGCTCATGGGATTGCTCTGTAACCCTTCGATACGGCGAGCGTATTTATATAGGCAAGATTTTCGCGGGATTTTAAAGGGATTTTTACCCCAAAGTTACTCGAAAGTTGCGTTGTGTTTCTAGGCGTAGGAAACGGGGTTACGGGCCGTTAGTCCCGCGAAACTCTTATATGTTTATGACTTAGAAAATACATGAAGCTCATGGGATTGCTCTGTAACCCTTCGATACGGCGAGCGTATTTATATAGGCAAGATTTTCGCGTGATTTTAAAGGGATTTTTACCCCAAAGTTACTCGAAAGTTGCGTTGTGTTTCTAGGCGTAGGAAACGGGGTTACCGGCCGTTAGTCCCGCGAAACTCTTATATGTTTATGACTTAGAAAATACATGAAACTCATGGGATTGCTCTGTAACCCTTCGATACGGCGAGCGTATTTATATAGGCAAGATTTTCGCGTGATTTTAAAGGGATTTTTACCCCAAAGTTACTCGAAAGTTGCGTTGTGTTTCTAGGCGTAGGAAACGGGGTTACCGGCCGTTAGTCCCGCGAAACTCTTATATGTTTCTGACTTAGAAAATACACGAAGCTCATGGGATTGCTCTGTAACCCTTCGATACGGCGAGCGTATTTATATAGGCAAGATTTTCGCGTGATTTTAAAGGGATTTTTACCCCAAAGTTACTCGAAAGTTGCGTTGTGTTTCTAGGCGTAGGAAACGGGGTTACCGGCCGTTAGTCCCGCGAAACTCTTATATGTTTATGACTTAGAAAATACATGAAGCTCATGGGATTGCTCTGTAACCCTTCGATACGGCGAGCGTATTTATATAGGCAAGATTTTCGCGTGATTTTAAAGGGATTTTTACCCAAAAGTTACTCGAAAGTTGCGTTGTGTTTCTAGGCGTAGGAAACGGGGTTACCGGCCGTTAGTCCCGCGAAACTCTTATATGTTTATGACTTAGAAAATACACGAAGCTCATGGGATTGCTCTGTAACCCTTCGATACGGCGAGCGTATTTATATAGGCAAGATTTTCGCGTGATTTTAAAGGGATTTTTACCCCAAAGTTACTCGAAAGTTGCGTTGTGTTTCTAGGCGTAGGAAACGGGGTTACCGGCCGTTAGTCCCGCGAAACTCTTATATGTTTATGACTTAGAAAATACATGAAGCTCATTGGATTGCTCTGTAACCCTTCGATACGGCGAGCGTATTTATATAGGCAAGATTTTCGCGTGATTTTAAAGGGATTTTTACCCCAAAGTTACTCGAAAGTTGCGTTGTGTTTCTAGGCGTAGGAAACGGGGTTACCGGCCGTTAGTCCTGCGAAACTCTTATATGTTTATGACTTAGAAAATACACGAAGCTCATGGGATTGCTCTGTAACCCTTCGATACGGCGAGCGTATTTATATAGGCAAGATTTTCGCGTGATTTTAAAGGGATTTTTACCCCAAAGTTACTCGAAAGTTGCGTTGTGTTTCTAGGCGTAGGAAACGGGGTTACCGGCCGTTAGTCCCGCGAAACTCTTATATGTTTATGACTTAGAAAATACATGAAGCTCATGGGATTGCTCTGTAACCCTTCGATACGGCGAGCGTATTTATATAGGCAAGATTTTCGCGTGATTTTAAAGGGATTTTTACCCCAAAGTTACTCGAAAGTTGCGTTGTGTTTCTAGGCGTAGGAAACGGGGTTACCGGCCGTTAGTCCCGCGAAACTCTTATATGTTTATGACTTAGAAAATACATGAAGCTCATGGGATTGCTCTGTAACCCTTCGATACGGCGAGCGTATTTATATAGGCAAGATTTTCGCGTGATTTTAAAGGGATTTTTACCCCAAAGTTACTCGAAAGTTGCGTTGTGTTTCTAGGCGTAGGAAACGGGGTTACCGGCCGTTAGTCCCGCGAAACTCTTATATGTTTATGACTTAGAAAATACACGAAGCTCATGGGATTGCTCTGTAACCCTTCGATACGGCGAGCGTATTTATATAGGCAAGATTTTCGCGTGATTTTAAAGGGATTTTTACCCCAAAGTTACTCGAAAGTTGCGTTGTGTTTCTAGGCGTAGGAAACGGGGTTACCGGCCGTTAGTCCCGCGAAACTCTTATATGTTTATGACTTAGAAAATACATGAAGCTCATGGGATTGCTCTGTAACCCTTCGATACGGCGAGCGTATTTATATAGGCAAGATTTTCGCGTGATTTTAAAGGGATTTTTACCCCAAAGTTACTCGAAAGTTGCGTTGTGTTTCTAGGCGTAGGAAACGGGGTTACCGGCCGTTAGTCCCGCGAAACTCTTATATGTTTATGACTTAGAAAATACATGAAGCTCATGGGATTGCTCTGTAACCCTTCGATACGGCGAGCGTATTTATATAGGCAAGATTTTCGCGTGATTCTTCCGATCTGATTTTTACCCCAAAGTTACTCGAAAGTTGCGTTGTGTTTCTAGGCGTAGGAAACGGGGTTACCGGCCGTTAGTCCCGCGAAACTCTTATATGTTTATGACTTAGAAAATACACGAAGCTCATGGGATTGCTCTGTAACCCTTCGATACGGCGAGCGTATTTATATAGGCAAGATTTTCGCGTGATTTTAAAGGGATTTTTACCCCAAAGTTACTCGAAAGTTGCGTTGTGTTTCTAGGCGTAGGAAACGGGGTTACCGGCCGTTAGTCCCGCGAAACTCTTATATGTTTATGACTTAGAAAATACATGAATAACTTACCATCAATACAAGGTAATGTTTAATCATTTGGGCAGCTCCTATCCTTTCAAAGTTGTTTTAATCAATTGGTTGGGTTTTACTGTGCATCATATCTTCCGTCATTCAGACCACCTTACCATCATCAGTGGCCAATTGGTTCTGCCAACACAAACAGGTGGCACGGAACAGGCGATGATGCAACACCTCTGGGCATTGTCCGACAGGACAGGCCTTCAACCCCTGGAATCGATATCATTCCTTATCCATCTCAACGTTGCCAAACAGTGCCACAATATCGCCTGTGTAAGACGTCTGCACGTATCGAGATGGATAAAGGCAGGACAAAATGATGTCCTGCTTTTGTGGCAGGTTTTTCGTATGCCATGTTTGGAATTGTTGGAGATTGGGTTTGCGGCTTCGTGTCGTCCTCGTGGACTTAAGAAAATAGAATAACTTACCATCAATACAAGGTAATGTTTAATCATTTGGGCAGGTAGTTTTAATCAATTGGTTGGGTTTTACTCTGCATCATTAATATCTTTATATATTTTATCAACTTTTGGAAGTCTGGTCATTATGTTGGCATTATTTTACGTGATAAATGCGCCTAGAAATAGTAAAGAGGTTGTAAGCATAATAAATGTTGAATCAATAAAAATACCAAGATAAATTCATCTTGTTGTAATGGTATATTATTCAAGGTTTATTTGAGATTTCTTTGAGGGAGGTTTGTTGATTTTTCTATATTCTATGAACACACATTTCTATATAACAGAACTCTACCATGGTTTACAGTATCAAACGCTTTACTTTTCAAGAAAATCTAACAATCTGCTACGAACAAGCTTCTCTAGTAGTTTACTTTACTAAAGATAAACAGGAGGGCAATAGTTGCACAGGCAGGCAGAAGAGTTGAACCTAAAGGCTTTGAAATTATTACACTGTCTTATGTTGGGATACTTCTGTTTCAATTTCATTAGTAGTAGCAGGAAATATAAAAAAACTCTTTGGTAATGGGGATTTTAGATTTTCAACAGCGTCCTCTACATTTCATTTATCATTCATGTTTTACAGAAATGATTTATTTGATTTCTTTAACATTTTAAATGTAATATGTCTTTAAATTATATTTCTTATATAGAAATGGTTTTTGATCGATTGTTTCTGATATTTTATCATAGAAAGAACCAAACATGCTAGACAGATTGCAATCGGATGTAAAAACAGCGTTATAACATAACAAGACCTCTAGACCCCTTGCTATACTAGCCTAAATTGAAACTACTCTAATAAACATTAATTGCGACTACTCATTTGTAAATTTAGCTACTGTTGTTACTTGGTAGATTAGTTAATTGTTAATATTTTTAGCAATACCTCTTTTTTTTAAATCTGTCACCTCAAATTTAGAGAAGGGATATTTTAAATTAGGGAAGTTATATTAAGAAATGGCATCCTGTTACTTCTAGACATTTCAAGTTATTACACATAAGGTAATAGATATTTATTAAAAATTAAATGATACTTACAATATTTTGTGGGTTAATACAATGTTGTCTCTATACAAATGTTCTCTGAGCGAATCAACACGTAACCTTAAATAGGGAAGATGCTGTTGCCAGGCTGCCTGGACTGGCAGACTTTTCTCACCTACAAGCAGATGGTGAACATTTGGACTGTTACTTCTGAACATTTCAAGGTATTAAAAGTTACAATGTAATTCCATTGGCCTTAGCATAGTTCTACATTTCAGTCAAGCAACACAAATATTTAGCGACTCCAGTGTTTTTCTTCGTTTATTTACAAGGACACATTAAATCATCGGTAAGGCAGGATCATATGAACAGGCCCTAGGAAACATTGTTGTGGAAACATTGTTGTGGAAATTATCAATGCTTCCCGAGAAGCAAAAATGTTTCTCACAAACATTTGATGTTTCCCTATGTTTCTCACTAATGTTTCCTAGTGTTTGCTCACTCTGGCAGGAAACAATGTTTCCGCAACAATGTTTCCTAGCTTTTTTTATAAGTGATACTCAAATAATTTTAATAAGACATACATTGTAAGATATTTATTAAAAATTAAATGTTCAATACGAGTTTCCTTAGGAAATTCTTTTACCGTAATATGTGTATGTAATACTAACAATGTTTCGTGGGTTAAATCAGCTTTATAGATACCACATTTTTAAACATTCCACAGACACAAATAAACAATTGTTTAATATCAGCCATGTTGTTTTCGAGCTCGATTCCGACGTATCCCGATCTTATCTCGATGGTGGTCGGAATCGTCCGAACGAACCGTAATCGATGGTATTATATTTCGATACCACTTCCGGTATTCATTAAACCGTCGCTTTATTCAGTTTGTGTTTGAGGATTTTTGAATAAAATAACCTTTTTTTCTTCGCCCATTTTTCTAACTTGCCATTTATTCAAAAATCCTCAAAACCTACAATAAAATAAAGCGACTGCTATATAATTTTGTACATTTTTAATATTTTAAAGCAAACTTCCTTATTAAAAACGGCTCGCTTATAAAAACTATTGTCTGTGTCAGTTTATAAGTTCTGTGAAGTTTTGAAATGCATAATGGCAGGGTTGGAATTTCAACCCCGGGGTTGAACTCAGCCCTGGGATGAAAATTTTGTCATGAATCGCGCGTTTGATTTTGATAGAGTTTTGTATTAAAACAGGGCCGAGTTCAACCCCGGGGTTGAAAATGCTCCATGTAATCGGCCTCTTAAAATAGCAGGGTTTCAAACACTTTAATTGATGCTGTATTAAATACCGCCTATCGATCCATCTGATATGAGTTTATTGGCGAACTTATTTTAGCTATAAACGTTGCATATTCCGTGAAAATCAAAGCTCGAGTTTATGTAAAAATGAACATAAATTTTTCATCACATATAAAACAACCGTCACCGACGTGGTAGTGATGTCCTTAATGAATTATTAATAACCTTTTTATTCAGATTGTTAGTAAATGAACTGCGCAGTAGTATTAAAATTGATGTCGTTTTACTGTTTATATAAACGACCGTTACACGTAATTTAAATGTATCAAATGTAATTCAAAATTCAAAAATATACAACGTTCGTAATTTTAAAACATTGGCAAAAACATGGAGAATTTCAAAGCGATCATTGAGCGGCGCTCTCCATTTTCGATCAAATTACTCGACCGCAGGTACGTTTCGATCCATCTCGACCGTATCAAAAGGTTACTAAGTAGAGAAGATGCTGTTGCCAGCCGCCTGGACATAAGATCTTACAGGCAGTACGTAGATGAGTTGGAATATAACTGGGACGACGATATTCACATGGGCTGTTGCGTGTTGCGGAAAGATGACTTGGCAGAAAAACCAATAGCCGTGGCCATCGCTTCTGCAAGGGAATACAGGGAGGATGTTAGGAGGCCGACGGAACTCAATTGGCGAAGAACCGAAGCCTACAGGAACGAGGAACAACAATGGTGCGTGGATTATTTGGTACGCGATAGAGAGTTTAGGGGTAGGGGCGTTGGTTGCTTTGGGCTGGTTGGTTTGTTGGAGTGCTTCTGCAGTCGATTGGATGATGGGATGTTGTGGCTGGTGCTGGCAGGTGGCTTCTGCAACAGAAACGCGCTCTCTTTGTACACGGATGTTGGGTTTCTTGTCACGTCGCTTGACTCTGACAAGAATCCCATCATGTCGTTACAAGTCCATGACATCGGACAGAGAGCGCGCAGGAAGTTGGTAGACACCTTAACGTTAAGGCATGGGGCGGCGGCTGCAGAACAGGGTGGTGGTGGTGGTGAGGGAGATGGGGGTTGATGGTGGTGGTGATGGTAGCGATGGTGGTGGTGATGGTGGTGGTGATGGTGGTGGTGATGATGGTAGTGGTGATGGTGGTGGTGATGGTGATGGTGGTGGTGGTGGTGATGGTGGTGATGGTGGTCGTAATGATGGCGAATACGCCGGAGTGGTGATGGTGGTGGTGATGGTGATGGTGGTGGTGGTGGTGATGGTGGTGATGGTGGTCGTAATGATGGCGAATACGCCGGAAGGTTAAGGAGGAGAGCGAGAAGAGGAGGAGTACGACGACCAGCCGGACGACGTGTGCTCGGAAATATGGACAACCTTACCTTCCGTACTATCGAGGACCACCTTACCATCATCGGTGACCAATTGGTTCTGCCAGAACAAACAGGTGGCACGGAACAGGCGATGATGCAACACCTCTGGGCATTGTCCGACAGGGCAGCCCTTCATCCCCAATCAATATCATTCCTTATCCATCTCAACGTTGCCAAACAGTGCCACAATATCGCCTGTGGAAGACGTCTGCACGTATCGAGATGGATAGCGCTGCAAAGGCAGGACAACAGAGAGAATCCAGAATGGAACAGGCGGTTCGCTGGTTCTCTCGCAAATGATGTCCTGCTTTTGTGGCAGGTTTTTCGTATGCCATGTTTGGAATTGCTGGAGATTGGGTATGCCGCTTCATGTCGTCCTCGTGGACTTAGGGATATTGTCCGTTCGTGCCAGCAACTCCTTGATGATCGCCAGCCCCTACCACGGTGCCTTCTCGTTGCGCAAGAACAACTGCACAAGTACGTAATTCAAAATGCACCTCGTGTGATTATATTGGGTCGATTTAAATTAATTAAATAGAGAAAAATACATGGGTACGCGGAACGAGAAATAAATCTGGTATTTCCAAGCACCCATGTATTTTTCTGTTAATTATATAAAGACAGTCTTTGAAAAGCGATAATTTTTCCAGAAAAGCGATCATTTTCACATGTGAGATTATCACTTTTATCAGTGCTCGAATCTCTATAAAGCACTATACTTTATATAATAATTATCGATAAAATTTATCCTTTCAGATACGCACTACGCATCGAAACCTCCTTTCCAGAAGACCGAATCGGGGATGGGGATGGCTTGAGCGGACTGCGTGTTGTCAGCGTTGGAAGTTGGATAAATCGAGACGGGGACGATGTTATCGTAAATGACCAGTCATTGTCTGCCTTGCTCTGGAGGAACATCGAAGCGAAGATTGGCAGGCGCGATGACTTACCGGGAACTCGCCAGAGATGTCGGTTGGTAGGATTCGACACGCAGGAGGTAAGGTCTAAAATTTTACTAATTGTCTACGAAATCTGTTAGAAACGTTGAAAGAAACGTTATTAATTAAAACCTGTCTTTCAGGTTTGTCACGAGTTGGCTTGCCATCAACATTACGCAGAGCAAGGTAGACAATGGCTGGAAGCCAGGATGACGCGCCTACAGCAAGAGATCGGCAATGAAGAACAAGCTGTTCTTTTAATGGATGTCTTCGGTGTGGACCAGTACGGGCGCCTGCTGGCAGACGTCCGTGGTGCGAGAGTTGGCCAAGACAGTCACATTTTGCAACGCTGGACGTTTGCAGAAGAGTGCGTGGCAGCTGGTTGGGCGCATACCACACCGCTATACGTACAGCCGCATCGTGTTGGCCAGGCTTTAGAGGCGGCACGAACGAACAGGATCGGCGCCTGGGGTCTGCAAACAGACGAAAGGCCGTTTCAAGGTAAATCAAAATTCAATTTGTTTCAATTGGAAATATTCGAATTATAAATAACTGTTAAAAAAAGCCAGATTCCTTTGATTAACAGACCGTGTTCATTTTTTTAGCCCCTTACTTATGCAGGAGATTGCATCGCGAGCAGGTGAACAGGGAGGGCAGGAGGAGAGAGTTCTGGTTGCCGCGATGAATTATAGGTACGATTGTACGAGACATGAATGTAACAGCATGCTTTGAATTATCAAAAGAGGAAACACCTGTTCAGTCATTTGATAACTCAGAAAAAGGACATACAGTAATATAATAACGACTCGATTCATTAAGAAAACAATTGTATTACTTATTATTACATGCAAACTTTCATTAACTAACACTTTCTACAATCACTATTTGTTAGATATCAGATGTCATCTTTCAACGTTCTGGGAGTTCCTGAAGAGGCACAACGCGTTGTATACAGTAAAACTCCGCGTATAAAAGCCTACACACACCGGACGCGATTCGACAACGCGGCGCGACTTTTCGATTTTCAATGACCGATAACTTTGATCCTGGTTTGCGAGTTATTTCAGTCTGTCCACCCTTTGGTGAAGGTGAACTCCAAGGACTTTTCCAGGACTTTCAAGGCCCTTTTTCAGTAAATTCCAGGATCTATAGAACTGCGAAAATTCTTTGAAAATGGCACAGATTTGCAGTAAAAAATTAAACTTTATTCAGTAATTTCAATGGAAATTCATTCAAGGACTGCTACTTATTTTCAAGGACTTCCCAGGGTTTTCGAGGCCCGTGGACACCCTTTTATTGGGTATATGGCTGTTTCATTAACATTCAAAAACTTAAAAATCGCACCGCGTTGTCGAATCGCGTCCAGTGGGTTTCGACCTTAAGAACGAAAACTGAAAAATTTAAGGAGAAATTCGACGTTTCGAGCGAATGTCCTTTTGACGGGAAGTAGTCGCGGAGGTCGGGAAAATTACTAAAAATACTAAAAATATAAAAGCGACCACGTGACAAAAAATAAGCCAATCAGATGGATTATTTTCAGATGACTATTTTCTTTGATTTAAATACATTGTTTAGCCTAAACAGGCTCTTAAATTATATAGAACAACAATGATTCTTTTGTTCATTTCGGAATCGTTGTTTAAAATACGCGCCGTTTTACTGTATGTTCATGTCAGCACCAGTCCATGGATCAACAGTTGGTCGCAGGTCGGTAAACTATATACGTTTAAAATACGCGCCGTTTTACTGTATGTTCATGTCAGCACCAGTCCATGGATCAACAGTTGGTCGCAGGTTCATTCCATCAGCTGAACAGAGAAGAAATAAAAATGGGTTAAAACAACCATCCAAATACCCCAGAAGGTCAAATGTCTAACCAAATTCCTTCAGCTCTCTTAAGCTAAGGTGTGAAAGCGAGTTTCTGGCGCCTAAAAACCAGATTGCTGTCTACGTCGGAGAAAAACTGAAATCCTATCATTGTACAGACCGAAGAAAGACTGTTCCAATTATAGGTATGTACAGTTGAACTTTGAAGGACATTCATTTTGTTTTCGCTCAAAATATTTCGAAAATCTCAAACTTTCATTACGTAACAATTAATGTGTATATAATCCTTACCTTATATAGAAGTGTTCAACGTTCATCATAAACAGCGTCGTAAATTTCAGCGACGCTAGAACGCAGCTCGTACGCCTGTTCTCTGCTGTCGTATACAATGTCTATTGGGTATATGATAGAGTTCAAATTTTCCCACCAACTGCTGTCTACAACTGCACGGTAGAACGTTTCTCTTCCTTCTACTTTACGGAATTCCATTAAAAGAACCTCGTTTGCTCGAATTTTTACAACTCTTCCTACGAAGACCACTGCATCCTCTGCGCACGTCGAGACACTGTCTACAAGACCAACCATGTCGCCCACACATATTTGAGAATGTTGAGGTTCTACGGGGCACGAAGATTCCGCACAAGATTCCACCCGAGACTTCTTGGAAGAGGTCGCTTCTGCTACACTTTTGTTAACCAAATCGAGACTTAGGAACGTCCGGTCTTGCCGCGAAATATCACAGTAAGTCGTTTGTTGGTGTTTCAAAGAATGACGCATTAACACTGCCAAGCTTTCACGCAGTCGGAGACTTTCTGCCTCTGGTAATGACAATACATGTGTCACTAAAGCATGACGTAATCTGGTTGTACCTGCACGAACGTGCACTTCTCTCTCAAACAAATCGCCCAAGTATAATGTAAAGGATGATGATGTGAACGCCAAACCGGTTGCGGTCATAAACATGAATGAATGAGATTTGCCACAAAGAAGATCTGTCCTCTTTCTAATGTATTCTTTCACGTAGGGGACAAGCCACATGGAGGAATCTATTTCAAATTTTGAGGGCCCATGACTTCGAAGATTTTTGAAGTCATTTTCGTACAATGTGAATTTGCCCTCATCAGCAGATACAACGAATACATTGCACTTAGTTTTCCAATCGAAATGAAATTCTTTTCCTTCCACGCATTCTTGAAATAGTTGCAAAGTACGTATCTCTTTCGAACGACCACACATGCTCGTAACGTACAGCGAGATCAGAACAAAGTCATGTAGGATTCTCGTAACGTACAGCGAGATCAGAACAAAGTCATGTAGGATTCGTGTATGTCTGGGAGAACCTCGATACGAGTCGACTTTATCCTGCAAGCTTGTGATGGTGTCTAAAAGGTGTTGGAACATGAACGTCGATGTCTTATTACCACACAGTCCGGCTTTAGTCGCGAGACGGTGACTTTGCTGGCGTTGTGACAACTGCCGCTGTACATTCTTCAAACGTACCAACTGGACGCAAGAGTCCATGTCCTCACTAGCTCGATGAATGTATTTAGCAAGATTTATCAACGCTGTTATTGTCCGTACAACGGTCGAAATGTTAAGCTTTCGAACGTCTAGATGATAAGTGATATATGCCTGTACGACGTCAACGTCATTTACAAAAGTGAAATCTAACTTGCGTTCGGGATATTTGATTCGACAAAAGTTGAGAAAACATTTCACTCGCTCAAGAAATTTCCTCATTGTTGAGGCTGAGAAGGCACTGCAAGTTCTTAATGGATTCACCGTTAAGGTGTAAAAGTCACTCAGCCCATCAATTTCCAATTGCAACTCAGGGCATGTGTCCTGCCTCTTTAAGCATCCTATTTTAACGGATGAAGTTGCCTTACAAGAATTTGAAAGGTCATCAGAACTACTACAGTTCTTAGCTGAATTTGATTGTGGATTTTCTGCGTTTGCATCATGTAAATTGTTGGAAGATTCGTCAGTGGAAGCACTTTCAATTTCCATAATTGTACTGCAGTTAGCTGAATTTAATTGTAGAAGTTCTTCGCTCATCAGATCCGACGGATTGACTAGCGTTTGCATCATGTAAATTGTTGGAAGATTCGTCAGTGGAAGCACTTTCAATTTCCATAATTGTACTGCAGTTAGCTGAATTTAATTGTAGAATTTCTTGAGTCGTCGCATCAGAAAGATTTTCTGCGTTTGCATCATGTAAATTGTTGGAAAATTCGTCAGTGGAAGCACTTGTAATGTCCATAATTGTTCTGGAATTAGCTGAATTTAATTGTAGAAGTTCTTCGCTCATCAGATCCGACGGATTGACTAGTGCGTTAGCATCATGTAAATTGTTGGAAAACTCGTCAGTGCGAGCATTTGAATCGTACATACTTGTACTGAAATTAGCTGAATTTGAATGCAGAATTTCGTACGGGAAAGCATCCGGTAAAACTATGTTAGAAACTGGAACGTTCAAATTGGACGGAGTTGCGTTGAACGTATTAGGAGGTTCTCCAATATTCGTACAGGAATTAATGGGCGGAAGGCAAACATTCACAATAGATGACGCAGACACAGAACTTAATTGTGAGCGGTGTTTCTTATTATACTTTCGTCGGGTTTTTGAATGTTCGACGAGTTGAAGCAAATTATCTGCTGAAATCAGAAATCTGTACGGCATTAGTCCAAGCGCATTCAAATGCTGACGTTCCAATGAATTTGTTCTGATGGCAGATGTTCCAATGTTTCGCAACCAACGCCTCACAGTCGATTGAGGAACTTTGGGAAAGCAAGTTTCTAAAATTTGTTGGAACACGTAATAGCTCTGGTCGTTCCTTTTGAAGACAATCAATGATTTTGCTGCTGGAAGTTCGCCTAAAAAAAACCGAGCACCATTACAATGCGAAACACACATTTTCTAACATGCGGACACCGGTAAGTGGCAAGCTAACTTTACTGTAGAATACTTCAGAAGCGAACAAACAGCAGGCATGTACTCAAATTTCGAGCACAAAACCGAAATTTAAGTAGATGCTCGCGATGTGTAAAACTAGCTATACTAAAGTTAGGGTTAGGGTTAGGGTTAGGGTTAGGGTTAGGGTTAGGGTTAGGGTTAGGGTTAGGGTTAGGGTTAGGGTTAGGGGTTAGGGTTAGGGTTAGGGTTAGGGTTAGGGTTAGTTTTAAATGTTGTAAATGGGGCTAATTCGAGATTCTATTGCAGCTATAATGTTTTAATTATACACTGTCACTGATTGAAAATATTAATAATATACATATATCAAACAGAATTACATGGACAGTAAGTCAAAATGATGGAAATAGTAGGGGAGCTGGTAAAAGAATTAGGGAGGTGCAGCAATGTAGCTCAAGACTCCCACGGAAAGTTATGGTTTAGAACGGGCCAAAGTCAACGACGTGACGTATGCATGCACTGTACATCACAAGGCATTTTATTAATACCATGGACTGGTGGGGGCAGTTGCCCCACTGGACCCCTTCCTCTGCCCCACCACTGAAGAAAGAAAAATGGCCTATTGCCCCAAAGCCCAGGGTCCTATCTGTACTGAGTAAATGAGTTTAGCATTGAAAAGAAGTTTAAAAAACAAAATTTGTTGGTGATTATACTTAAATTTATGTTGTGCTTGAATGTTTAGCATGCAATTTATTACAAAATTCACCATTAGAACTTCGTTCTGAGAAGCTGAGATTTTTTTTTAAATGTGTTCTCAGAATGCAGGAGATGCTATTTCAGAGACCCAAATTTTAAAAATTTCCTGTGGGGCATGCCCCCAGACCCTCCTAGCTAACTCGTGCCTTCGGTACTCGGCTCACACCTTCGGCGATTGCATACTATCCTGGGGAAAGGCCCTTTGGCAGTTTTGCCCCAGATCTCTTGGGGGGAGGCCCTTCAGTGCTATCGGATGGTTGAGTTGTAATCGCGGATGGTCCAGGTGAACTCGAAGACGGCTGAGTACTCGTGGATGCTTGAGTACCAGTTGTGGTCTCGTCTGCTTTTCGCTTACGGCGTGTTTCAAAATCCTTGTTCTTAGCTCGATTTTTCTTTTGTCGCTTTGTGACGTTTTCTTTGCGTGAGCAACCTGTAGTATATATTGACTTATTATTATGCTGTAAATGATAGTCAAAGTAAGCACAGGGAATAAGCCATGTTTTGGCGAGGAAAACTATAGGCCATGAAAAGCAAACATTGCGTCAAAGCAGGACTGTTACGGTTTAGTCAGGATTAATCATGTGCACATGTGATGAATGTTAATTACATGACAAACACAAAAATGCTTCACGACTGAAAACGTGCTCATAGGGGACTGGAAACTAGTGAATATATTTGCCTAATTGACTCGCGTCTAAATTAGAGAAACGCAATAATGTGACGTCATCATGTGACATCATAAAACAGCGAGGGATTTCCTTCCCAACTGGTCGAAATTTCCATTATTCTCAATGTAATATGTGTAATATATACAGCCAATTTAAAAGAGGTTGTCCTTTGCAACCTTAAAACGTTAAACTCTAAGTGCGCATAACTTGATGGAAGCACAAGTTTCAAGCTTAGTAGTTGAATATCATTCGATACCATATACAGGTATATGTATACCCAAAAACCACAAGCTTGATTTATAGTCATTAAGTAGAAGTTAACATGGCGGTCGAGTAATGATGTACCATTTGTTGAAATTGGAAGAATGTTTTCGCACTATTTACCAAAATCTGTTACCTGAAAATTAAAAAACCGACCCATTGATAACTGGTATAATCTGAAACTTTAAGACTAAGTTTGCAAAATATGATTGTCATAACGGCTTTTTGGAGGTTTGTTCAGTCGAAAAACGTTGAATAGTGTTATAATATTATATTTCATTTATATTTCTTTTACAATAATTACAAGCAATAAATGAGAACTGTCAGGAAGAACTCACTTTAGGCAAGTTTACTTGAATACAAAACCATTTATAAATTGAGTATATTTTAAAAGAATTATAGCGATGTGCTTTTTGTGTGGTTTATGGGGTATATACCTGTACCATACCATACCATACCATACCATACCATACCATACCATACCATGCGACGGACAGTCCAGTTATACACAATGAGATCAATGGAACGCATACATGTTTCAATTCAGTTATATATTGAGTTCAAAAATCAATAGCCTGCGAAAAGGCTCTCCTGCCCGCAGACTGAGAAATCAAACATGGCCGCAGGCAAGCAAACAAACATGCTGGTATTCCACTTTAAATCTTCAGAGTTTTGTATAAATCTTGAAAAATGGTGAGTAAAATTAAATTTGTTTACATTCCAGTAAGTATGAATACACTTGAATGACTTTATTTAACATGGATGACCAGTAAACTCAGTGTATGCTTAAAGGTGATGTAAAGTCCGTAATGTATTAAAAAACAAACGCTTTGTTTACATTTTGAACTCAGTGCTACAGTTGTAAAATATGATTAGATATATATTATACTGAATTTTTAACACTCTTCTGGTTCGCTATGCTTGTAAATGAATGCAGACTAGAGATTCAATTCAAGGAAGTTCGGAAAGAGCGAAATATTAACAACATTCCAAAGGTTGCTCCCACACTGATGGAATGTGTTGATTCGCAGAATATGTGCGCAGAACGGACTTTACAGCATCTTTATATGAAGTGATATTAGAATGTTAGGGTTTGAACCCTAACATTCTAATATTAATTCCACCAAGTGAAGTGCAAGAATCCAAATTAAATGAAGTGACCCTGCATACAACCATGTCACATGCGCACAAAAGAACTTTTGCGCACCCAATACCTGCTTTTGTCCACCAATGCATAGGTATAAATTTCTATAACGTTTTGTAAAAAATGTTTTCGGAAATTGAATCAGAGTTAAACACTTTCACTACAAATCCTTCAAAACTTAGAATTTGTAATCACAACACAGAAACTTTGACAGAGTAAACTGGGTTTAAAGATGCGGTACAGTCCGATCTGTGTATGTGCACAAAGGAGCCATCTTTTTATTTTCAAACAGTTTATTTAGGTTTTTATTTCATTTTATGTTTGTGCAAAGCTTGATTGTTGTGCCTTGATACTTTATTATACTCTAGAATCATGAAAATATAAATAGTTGTCGAATAAAATTCAATATTTTTTTAAAAATGTAAACAAAGCCTTTGTTTACATACGGACTGTATCGCATCTTTAACTGCATGCATTTGGCAAAGAACAAATTATCCATGCGGACAAGTGTTGTCATTGTTTCAGGCATGTTATAGCAACAATAATCCGAAAACGAGGCTATACTCAAAGTGATGGACAGTCCAGTTATATATAATGAGATCAATAGAACACATAAATATATCAATTCGGTTATGTATTGAGTTTGGGAGACTCGGAAATCAAACATGGCACAGGCAGCATAAAATATACTCTATATAAGTTCTTTGAATGTTTGCATGGCGATAAAATATGATTGTTTTTGTTTGTGGAAACACCACGTAAATTTATTACTGCAAAGCTAATATTATTATGAACTGAAGCTCATATTATTAGCACTGATGAAGATCCGGGCTTACGGATCGAAAGCTTTGCAGTAATAAATTGACGTGGTGTTTCCACAAACAAAAACAATCATACTCTATATATCCCAGAAAATGCCGAGTAAGCAAGTGCGCACTTGAGAAATGTGTTGAAGTTTAGTCCAGTAAGTGACTTTGCACACACTTGAATGACTTTATTTAAGCCTACTCAACTTGTGATGCAAGCTCAGTGTACGCTTGAATAAAGTCCAGTTTTGGGCGCGCACTTGCTGCCTAGGCCTGCTTGCACGAAATCCTTACGATCCTGTGATCAATGCATAGGTAAATTCTATAAAGTTTTGAAAGATTTGTTAGAATGTTTTCGGGAATTCAATCAGAGTTAAACACTTTCACTACAAATCCTTCAAAACTTAGAATTTGCCTAGGCAAATTTGTACCGTAATCACACATAGAAACGATGGTAGAGTAAACTGGGTCTAACTCATAGAAATATTAAACATAGAATCTGTGCTCTTATCCTTTCTCAGTTAAACAGGTGACGCCACATTAACTCTTCAAAATGGCCAATCTATAAGGGCAAATTAAACTTGACCGCTCCTCGGACAAATCCAACATGGCCAATTTGTAAGGGCATTTTTTTTTTATTGGACACCGGTCACATGACCAAGCACGCATTCTAGGTTTAATATATCTATGGTTTAACTGCATGCATTTTGCAAAGAACACAAATATAATTATCAATGCAGACAAGTGTTGTCATTGTTTCAGGCATGTTATATGAACAAAAATACAAAAGTCCAAAACAGACTGAACATTTATATAACCTTTTGTTTTTACAAGTTTTCTGTCCAGTAACAATATATTTCATCAAAGTTCACTAGTATGTTGCAACACAAGCAAGTTGATTGTTCAAGGTTCTAATAACTAGACATAATCTTACAAGTTAGTACTTAATATCAACCACCTTTAAAGGAATTGCCTGTTAGTTAGTTAGTTAGTTAGCAGGTCTGTGGAGAAAAACGGTCACATGACAAGGCTGGGATAACAACTTACACAGTGTTTGTATTCTATTGACCAGCCATAAAAAAGTGATCAGATAAAAATTTGCCCATCGATTTATACCGAGCAAACTAGCAAACACAGAGTATGCATTAATATGCGCATGCATGTCAATTATGAAATTCTGATGTCGACAACAAGACATTTTAGGTATAAAATTATGTTTCTATCAAAAAGATGCTGACCGGATGTACAGTATCAATTGTTCAATATTTTCTCCAAAAAATTAGTTACTGGTATATTAAATATCTTAAAAAGATATTTTTATAAGAGTCATTTTGGACAATTCGAATGAAACTTTGTTAAACTCACTCAATTGTTCTGACAATTACAGTGATTTATTACTGTGAAAGATTTTCACGAGCAGACATGATCCAATCTCTTCGCTGAGCGGTCGTCCAGCTGCACTCAGAACTCTCGTTAAGCCAGCGAACAATTTCGGTCATTTGCTGTGGAAGCAGATTGTTTGATTGATTTTCCAGGATCAAAGGAATCCAATATTCTCTCAGGCTACCGTAATTAACAAACACTTCAACTCGGTCATAGGTCTGGACGAACGGTTGTTTCACTTTGATCACCATCTGGTCGCCAACAGTTTCGAACTGTGCATTGCATGTCTCATCCAGTCTGCGTTCTAAGTTCCTCCAGTCGTCACCGCTGATCTGAGAATGGCCTTTTCTTGACAATTCTTTGAGGTGTATGAGAGCTTCCAAAACACCGGGCTGGTTTGCAAACCGTCCAATGTTATTTCCCGTTTCAATTTCTGCGTCGAACCAGAGCTTCTTTCTGGGGGAATAAATGGCATATACGCGTGAACTACCGCTCGCAGTAATTTCGTCGATCGTTGCACTTCGCTCAGCATAGATGCACAGATGTTCTCCAACAGGAATATCGCCCTCGTGTGGTTGGAGAAAGAGGCCACGGCCAGCGTCTGGTATGGTACTTTGCGCGACAGAACACCTACTTTCCCAGTAGAGCTTGGAAGGAACAATCCTTAGGTAGAAGTTGTCAGTGGTTTCGCTGTTTGGCACCTCTCCATCTTCGTCACCGCCATCCAACGGCGCTGAGCTTTCTGTAGGAATCCATGCTAGATTTGGATCCACTGGTGTGTTGAGAATTTCTCTGTATTCATCGTAAACTCCGGTTTGACCTGTCGCCTTGAGTTTTCGCACATCCCATGGTCTATATGGATAGGTAAACGCCTCATCGGGGAGAGTGAATATTCCTTTCTTTCCGTCGATGGCTTCTCTCATCGCTTCGTCTATGTCGAGGTCTATGCCCGTGGTGTAAAATGATAGAGTAAACCCCCGAGACGCGAGTTTTTCCGCCAGGTTCTCTTTTAAGCCTTTCGAGTTTTGTAACAAGACATGCACGAGCCTACGTCCATAAGAATCCCGTGGAACCGATAGCCCTCCACGCAAGTCCCTTTTCACTTGCAGAAAAACGTTGGCTGCTTCATGTACCATCTGTCGCGTGGCTCGCAAACACTCGATTCCGATGTGCCTTGTCAGAAAAGTAGAAAGATGGAGAGAATCTTGGCTTTGTTTGTATATGCGTATTGCGTTTTCTGTTTCAGGGCTGTCTGAATGTGGCATACGAATTCTTATGGTGTTGCCGTGAGTGGCCAATTTCGCTAGGTCGGTGTCGTGGTCGTCTGGTGACAGCGTAATCTCGCAGGAATCACCGTCGCACACATGGAGACACTCTTTTCGTACGGGTAGCAGGTCGTGTTCGGCGGGAATTGCCCCCGGGATTTTCCAGGATTTTGGGACTGGGTCATGTAGCTTTCGCTGTTGGAGGAGTGGTTCCAAGTATTTCAAAGTTGTAGCAGACACAGCGGTCGGGGATGCGAGGCTCACGGTTGGAGGACTGAAGCGGGGCGTGGCCGCAGAAAAATAGTACCATCTTTGCAAATTTGAAACGCTAAATCCGGAAAATTGCACTCTCAAGCTTTGTGCAATCACCTCTGTGCTACCGCAATAACGCGGCCTGTCCTTCATTTGTACGGGTTCGTCGGGTAATTCCTCGCGATTCTCGGTTTCAATACTATCATGGTACCTGGAATGTTTTCGAAATATATAGTTTACTTAGGATGCCGTACTGGTTCATTTGAATTAAATCGCTATTTTTTTGTCAAAAAATGCATTATTTTTTGAAAGAAACTATATAATTGTGTAGACAACTAAGTATACGGCGGGATTTGTTAAAAATTTGTGTTGAAAAATGCGCATCGAATTTAATCCGCTCTCAGACCTTATTTGGTAAAATCAGGTCATTGTCACATGCAATAATAAATATTATGTTGATAAATGTTGTTGCAGGTGGACCATTTATACAAAATCCTAGAGTTAGAATAGATAATCTAACAGACCTTTATATAATTAGCTCATCAGTGCCAAGATGAAGGGCTCCAAAGCCTATACCGCAATCACGAAAACGAGGCTCTATAGCCAAGACGAGTACTTTCGGGAAAGGCGTGCATAAATTATAGTGCCTATTCAACGAAATTTTTACCACACTTTTTATCGTTTTTCTAAAAAGTACTGCATGAAGAATTACGTTTACAGTTTCGTCATATCTCATCTCATTCTCAAGTTATCGCACTTTCCATATTTTGAGTTGTGACGTCACAATTATCAGTTGATATAATGGCAATAACAAGAAAGTATGATATTTTGGTGAGCATTTAATAAAATTCAATGAGACTTGGTACACTTAGTGGGTGCAACAAAGTCAACAACTTAGCATGTTTATATGGTTGTTATGGAAACACACTCGTCCCCAGTCCCTTCTCTTCAAATTTCGGTATGATCCATTTCCAACGAAATAAATGGCAATTTTTGCAATTTTTGCTTATTACTATAATAGGTGCAGGTATTGTGATCAGTTTAAACAGTTATAATATGTAAACGTCCTCTGCAAAGAAAGAAAGGGAAGAGAAGAGAAAGGGAAGAGAAGAGACTGGGGACAACCACATGACCTCTGTGAGTATTTACAAAGTGTACACTGCCGAGTTGCTCCTCACTGGAATCTTACGTCAGGAACTTGATCTAGACCAAAACAAACCAACTTTTAACACGACTTCTGATATTAACCCAGATCGCATCACGCCTGTGAAGTCTAAAGGACGTCGAAGACGGTAGAACGCACCCATATTAATGTTTTTGGCAGGTCATGTTAACACACTAGTCCCCAGTCAAGAGACTTTCTCAACTTTGCTCCTGTAGATCACCTGCAGAGGATGTTTACATATTATAACTGTTTAAACTGATCACAATACCTGCATTTATTATAGTAATGAGCGAAAATTGCAAAATTTCTATTTATTTCGTTGGAAATGGATCGGCATACAGAAATTTGAAGAGAAGGGACTGAGGATGAGTGTGTTTCCATAACAACCGTATAAACATGCCAAATTTTTTACTTTGTTGCGCCCACTTAGTGTACTAAGTTTCATTGGATTTTATTAAATGCTCACCAAGATATCATAATTTCTTGTTATTGCCATTATCTCAACTCATACTTGTGACGTCACAACTCAAAATGTAGAAAGTGCGATAACGTGAGAATGAGATGAAATATGACGAAACTGTAAACGTCATTCTTCATCACTCCAGCAGTACTTTTTTAAAAAAAAAACAATAAAAAATGAGGTAAAAATTTCGTTGCATAGGCACTTCAGTTAAACATTTGTTCATTTTTTTCAAACTTTGTGTTTATTGGATGAAAGTTGATGTTACTAAGGACAAACGTTTATTTTAAAAACAAATTGCTTGGTTATTATTTCAGTGTTGTACACGTGCAAGTGTTGGTTGAAAAAGCTTGAATAAGACGTTCATTTGATGGCCATGACGACCATGGTGTTTTTACTCGAACAAGTCGGATTTTTAGTAATTTTCTGTACTTTTTCCCACTGACTGGTGTGTATATTTTCATGCGATATTGACAGACATATATTTGCGTTAAAACGTTTCTTAGAATTAATTAGAAATGACCTATCAATAGACAATGAGACATTTCAGCTGATTATCTACTGTTTTTAATGCGTTCGACACATCAGAAGTAGTTCGTTTTAAAATCCTATCAAGTCAAGACTTTGATGTCTTCTATTTCAGACATCGCCATTCTGCTTTGTTGGAAATGTAGATAAGTAAAGAAGATCAAAAGAAGAATGGTCATGTGTGTGATGAAGAGTTTACGTCTCCGCCATTTCGACAAACTAGATACAAGAAGACCACAAGCCCACTTTCTACTCCTTTGATTCAGAGGTTGTTTAGAAGAACAGAAAAGCGATAATTTTCACATGTGAGATTATCATGAATAATCAATCTCACATGTGAGATTATCACTTTTATCACTGGTCGAAATCTCTATAAAGCACTATACTTTATATAATAATTATGTTTATCAAAGTAGTGTGATAGGCTAATGCTTTCCAAAAATGTTTGCTTCAGTTTTAACGCAGTTATCTCTGTCAATATTGTATGAAAATGCACATGGTATGTATCAAAATTTAACTCGAATTCAAAGAACGTTGTTCAGGTGTAAAAACCCTTTTAGATTATATGTAATTACTAAGTGAAACGGGCCAAACTATTGCAATCTTCTATTGTTTGCAGGTCAGTGTATCGCATCCGGCGTATGGAAAATGGATTGTCATTGGACGAACTTTTGCTGGCTCTGTGTTTGCTGATTTGCTCGCAGGCATCGACGACATACACGCGTAAAAACGCACAGGTTGTTACAGGTCAGAAAACAAGTTGTTACAAATCTTTTCACAAGTTGTTGGCAAGTCGCATTGGCGCTGATTGTTCCCATGTTGTTGCAACAAGCTTGATTGCATTATCAGGCTCGTTGCAAGGTCTGATGCAGCCTCGATATAACAAGAATGTTGTAACAATATTGTTATATCATGACTGTATCAGGCTTGCTGGAACAACCTTGCAACAAGTCTGATAATATCAGCAGTGTTGTTACAAGTTGTTGTTAACAGCTTGATTCATATTTGTTGACAAGCAGTGCGAACACGACTTGGGTAGGGAGACTTGCTACAAGCTGTGAGATTTTTGCGTGCCTATGTCGATATAGTTTTGTATATATAGAGAATAATAAATAAATCTAGTATTTCCAAGCACCCATGTATTTTTCTGCGATAATTTTGACATGTGAAATTATCAGTTTTATTGGTATACTATAGTAAACACTCCGAGTTGCAACGGGGCTGAATGAATGTCTGCAGTGGTTGTCAACTTAACGTGCACGTACGGCCATTGCGAAATTAAATATTTTTAGTATTTTTAATGTGGTCTTTGGGATGTCAAACGTACCGGAAGTGGCGTCAAATAAGGCAATGCAAACAAAAATACCGTAAAGACGAAGTTTTTTTTCAAGAGAATATATTGGATTTCGCCTTAAAATGTACTGAATGTGGACTTTAAAATCGCGTGCAATTTAAATTGATTTTGTTATATTTGTAGCCGAAAATAACTGAAACTAGATATACAGTTTGAAACCGATAGTTTCTGAATATTTTGCCTTGTCACGTGACCGTAGTTTCTCGTCGAAAACGACGTGCAAGTGCGCACACAAATGTACACGTGACGTATATAATACACTGAAATACATTGTAAATAAGTATGTGCTTGAATTAATCGCGCTGAACTGTGCGATAAACGACATATATTGTTCGAGTGAGAGCTATAATAATCTCTTTTTATTTTTGAAACAATTCATGGGAAAAATCTCGTAAAGTGCATGCATTTGGGAACATTTTTACTCGACGTTCGATTGCCAGTATGAACGCCAGGCATGAAAAATAATGAGATCTCGATTGTAGTTTATGCACTTTTCAAGTTGCCACGCAACAGATGGCGACAAAATTTTTTATAGAAAGGAGTTTCAAAGATTTCTGTATAATCTTGTGACTGAATCTTTTTTCTATTAATTTAAGCTTTAGCCTTGAAATGTTTTGACTGAAGTAACAATCAATTAAAATTAGTTTTTATTCAATTCTAAGTTTGAAATAGCAACCCCAAAACGAGTTGAGGGTTCATATATTGATCACTGGTAAAAGTCATGCGTGACCCCACCCCACGTACTTGTGAAGAAACATGGCGGACAGCTCATTGGCTTCAGTCAAATTGTTTGAAGATTCTTTGAAATGACAAAATAAAAAAAAATTGTTGCCATTTGATTCACGCACGCACATATAAGTTTGGATTCTTGGAAACACCATGCACTCATATCGTCATGCTGTTTCCACAAATCATACAATTGATTATACAGTACAGTACAAAAAAACATGCAATAATAATACCTCGCATATGCGTCGTCAAAATCCAGAACAGATTCGCATTCATCGCAAAAACATGACCGTAGTGCCTCCACGTATTTATCATAATGCAGTTCCTTAAATTTCTCTTCAAGTTCCTCGAATAATACAGTCGTCTCATCCAGTTTCTGGACTTTTTTCGCATGTTCGTAAAGCAGGTTTCCAGCCAAATGGTGCAGGCAGTTGGACACGCCGTTGGGAGATGCGGTCACCAGCAGTAATTTCTCTTCGATCGAATGTTCGTCGTCCAGCGTTTGTGTACACCACCAATTTTGCAGAGCTTCGACCAAATCTCGATCCAGCGTTTTCCAGTCATTCATTATCCGCCAGAATGTATCGAGTTCACAACTATTTGGCGCGCTGTCTTTTTCCGCCTTGGCGAAATCTTGTATGAGCCTCACTTGTGTCTTCACAGGCGTTTCAAACGTCTGCGCTCTGAGCTTTTCTCTCGCCTCGGGTGGTAATTCAGGTGGAGTGGGTGCAGTCGAGGGAGTCGTAGACGCAGGAGGGTCCGTTGAGCTGGTCGTAGGAGCAGACTGTGATGATGTTGGTGGCGTCTGCTGCGTGGTGTTTCTTTTCGGTGGTGGCGTTGTGCTGCTCTCCGACGACAACGGCCGCTTTCTCGCAGTGAATTTAGGGTCTGATCGCCTATTTTCTTGTCGTCTGGTTACTTTGGGTTTGCGCAAATGGCCTGGTTTTCCCTTTCCAAGCCCTTTGCCTCGTTCTTGTTGGCTGCTCGATGTCGACGCCGCACTTGCCGTGCGTTTCTGTCGTGTCTTGGTAAGGTCGGGAACCTTCTGCAGACCACGGTCCATGCCTTTACTCTTAAAAACGCCTAGTGGGTTAATAGCATTGAATTAAAAATCTGACGCGAGTGCAATTAGAATAAGTCGAGCATAAAAATTCCTACCTGAATTCTTCGAGAAAAGGGACGCATAAAATTCGTGAATCGACTCTAATAATCCCTGTAACGCTTCTTCATCTTTTAATGATTTTATGTTTTTCTTGATGGATGAAAAAACTTTGTCTACGAAGGTCTCACATTCGACCGCGGCGTTCATACTGGCAATGAAACAGGGGGGGCGTGTTTGGCCTTTTATAGTCCGCCGTGGTGCAACATCAGCCCATGTGACGTCATCCAGTCCCAAAAAGTAATAAATTGCAAAATAATTCTATTATTTTAAATTAAATAAGCGAATTTTAAATCAAAATTGACTTCAGATCAGATCATTATACTGCGTACTGTATAACTGTATGGTAATAATAAAAATATCGCCTAAAACAAGCATTGTTGCGTAATAAACCGCCGTGGTGGTGCAATATCGTACGACATATGACTCAGTTCCAGAAATAAACAAAAAAAGTACCGTTACTCCAGCTGCATATACAGAGCTCGCGGAATCCGACTCACGTGATCAAAAACACGTGTGACAAGAAACCGCGAGGAACTTCATGACCGCCCAAAGCCTGTTCTGCGCTGCAGTAATCATAAAAAAACGGTTAGTTTTGAGTGATAGAATTAAGAAAACCGGCCGCCAATAAAATTATTACTGTTGGAACGATGCAGTATTACAATGGCAAGAGAAAAACAAAGACATGGTATGTAAATAATTCGCGCTTAATATATCATATAAAGTGATGTGCTTCCAACCAATATTTGTTCCTTTTAACGGACCTATATGAAAATACTTAATTACTATTCTAGTTTGTATTAAAACTGACAAGAGATTTGCATGCTTTTTCGAAAATCGGCCCAAAAATATCTAATGTTTACTTGGCCACGTTGCTTCGTGGAGACAACACGAATATTTAGCTTTTCTATGTCACCATTCAATGAGGACATAGAATGACCAATCACAAAGAAGCTGAAGGGGGGAATGCCCACGCAAAGTCCACGCGGAAAACAAAATCCATTCCAATTTAAAACATCGGCCAATTCATGCCTGAATCAATCTACTATAGCATCAAGTGAATTCAAGATTGTCTGGAAGTTACATCCTCCACCTGTATTATTAATTAACACATTTATGTAATTATTTGCATGCAGCAAGGGGTGGGTTTTTTTCCAGAATACTATTGGTCAATCATCTATAATTTACTCATGCATACAAAGACAGACAGACTGATAAGGCACAGTCATGTTTGTGAGCATATTTCATGGAGAGGGAGACTTGACAATTGCCCCTCGTATATATTTGCAGGGCTCATTTAATCTGGAAGAGTTTAATATATGATCTAATAATTTCCCCCTCGACACACCCCAAGAACATGGCCCTGTAATATTCCATCTGGGCTTAATAGAGAGAGACATGGGGGGGGGGGAGACAGACACTTAGGAATTGGTATATTTGCACGCCTCGTGTAATCCGGAGTTTATAAGTCCAATTATTTTGCCCGCTCAGCGGAGTGCCGGCATCGCACACTGCGTCTTGCCCCCCTCACTGACACGCCGGGGAAATATAGTTGTAATATTTTTTTTCTTATATTGTCAGCATATTTCATGCAGAGAGAGAGAGAGAGAGACTTGAGAATCCCCACCCGTATATATATATATTTATGCAGGGCAGGGCTCATTTAATGCGGATGTCAGGTTTAATATATGTGAAATTTTATTCAAATTTTATTCAAATTTTATTGTGAATTTTATTCAAATTTTATTTGTTAAATATCCATCTTTGGCATATAGAAATGCAATGGATTTACAAGTTAAAAATATATACTAAAATACATGTTTAATTAACCTATGAGAATGTAAAAATTAGAAAGTTTATTAAGAAGTTTTTGCATACGTATGTACAATGATCTAATAATTTCCCCCTCGACACACCCCAAGAACATGGCCCTGTAATATTCCATCTGGGCTTAATAGAGAGAGACATGGGAGGGGGGGAGACAGACACTTAGGAATTGGTATATTTGCACGCCTCGTGTAATCCGGAGTTTATAAGTCCAATTATTTTGCCCGCTCAGCGGAGTGCCGGCATCGCACACTGCGTCTTGCCCCCCTCACTGACACGCCGGGGAAATATAGTTGTAATATTTTTTTTCTTATATTGTCAGCATATTTCATGCAGAGAGAGAGAGAGAGAGACTTGAGAATCCCCACCCGTATATATATATATTTATGCAGGGCAGGGCTCATTTAATGCGGATGTCAGGTTTAATATATGTGAAATTTTATTCAAATTTTATTCAAATTTTATTGTGAATTTTATTCAAATTTTATTTGTTAAATATCCATCTTTGGCATATAGAAATGCAATGGATTTACAAGTTAAAAATATATACTAAAATACATGTTTAATTAACCTATGAGAATGTAAAAATTAGAAAGTTTATTAAGAAGTTTTTGCATACGTATGTACAATGATCTAATAATTTCCCCCTCGACACACCCCAAGAACATGGCCCTGTAATATTCCATCTGGGCTTAATAGAGAGAGACATGGGGGGGGGGGAGACAGACACTTAGGAATTGGTATATTTGCACGCCTCGTGTAATCCGGAGTTTATAAGTCCAATTATTTTGCCCGCTCAGCGGAGTGCCGGCATCGCACACTGCGTCTTGCCCCCCTCACTGACACGCCGGGGAAATATAGTTGTAATATTTTTTTTCTTATATTGTCAGCATATTTCATGCAGAGAGAGAGAGAGAGAGACTTGAGAATCCCCACCCGTATATATATATTTATGCAGGGCAGGGCTCATTTAATGCGGATGTCAGGTTTAATATATGTGAAATTTTATTCAAATTTTATTCAAATTTTATTGTGAATTTTATTCAAATTTTATTTGTTAAATATCCATCTTTGGCATATAGAAATGCAATGGATTTACAAGTTAAAAATATATACTAAAATACATGTTTAATTAACCTATGAGAATGTAAAAATTAGAAAGTTTATTAAGAAGTTTTTGCATACGTATGTACAATGATCTAATAATTTCCCCCTCGACACACCCCAAGAACATGGCCCTGTAATATTCCATCTGGGCTTAATAGAGAGAGACATGGGGGGGGGGAGACAGACACTTAGGAATTGGTATATTTGCACGCCTCGTGTAATCCGGAGTTTATAAGTCCAATTATTTTGCCCGCTCAGCGGAGTGCCGGCATCGCACACTGCGTCTTGCCCCCCTCACTGACACGCCGGGGAAATATAGTTGTAATATTTTTTTTCTTATATTGTCAGCATATTTCATGCAGAGAGAGAGAGAGAGAGACTTGAGAATCCCCACCCGTATATATATATTTATGCAGGGCAGGGCTCATTTAATGCGGATGTCAGGTTTAATATATGTGAAATTTTATTCAAATTTTATTCAAATTTTATTGTGAATTTTATTCAAATTTTATTTGTTAAATATCCATCTTTGGCATATAGAAATGCAATGGATTTACAAGTTAAAAATATATACTAACATACATGTTTAATTAACCTATGAGAATGTAAAAATTAGAAAGTTTATTAAGAAGTTTTTGCATACGTATGTACAATGATCTAATAATTTCCCCCTCGACACACCCCAAGAACATGGCCCTGTAATATTCCATCTGGGCTTAATAGAGAGAGACATGGGGGGGGGGGAGACAGACACTTAGGAATTGGTATATTTGCACGCCTCGTGTAATCCGGAGTTTATAAGTCCAATTATTTTGCCCGCTCAGCGGAGTGCCGGCATCGCACACTGCGTCTTGCCCCCCTCACTGACACGCCGGGGAAATATAGTTGTAATATTTTTTTTCTTATATTGTCAGCATATTTCATGCAGAGAGAGAGAGAGAGAGACTTGAGAATCCCCACCCGTATATATATATTTATGCAGGGCAGGGCTCATTTAATGCGGATGTCAGGTTTAATATATGTGAAATTTTATTCAAATTTTATTCAAATTTTATTGTGAATTTTATTCAAATTTTATTTGTTAAATATCCATCTTTGGCATATAGAAATGCAATGGATTTACAAGTTAAAAATATATACTAAAATACATGTTTAATTAACCTATGAGAATGTAAAAATTAGAAAGTTTATTAAGAAGTTTTTGCATACGTATGTACAATGATCTAATAATTTCCCCCTCGACACACCCCAAGAACATGGCCCTGTAATATTCCATCTGGGCTTAATAGAGAGAGACATGGGGGGGGGGGAGACAGACACTTAGGAATTGGTATATTTGCACGCCTCGTGTAATCCGGAGTTTATAAGTCCAATTATTTTGCCCGCTCAGCGGAGTGCCGGCATCGCACACTGCGTCTTGCCCCCCTCACTGACACGCCGGGGAAATATAGTTGTAATATTTTTTTTCTTATATTGTCAGCATATTTCATGCAGAGAGAGAGAGAGAGAGACTTGAGAATCCCCACCCGTATATATATATTTATGCAGGGCAGGGCTCATTTAATGCGGATGTCAGGTTTAATATATGTGAAATTTTATTCAAATTTTATTCAAATTTTATTGTGAATTTTATTCAAATTTTATTTGTTAAATATCCATCTTTGGCATATAGAAATGCAATGGATTTACAAGTTAAAAATATATACTAAAATACATGTTTAATTAACCTATGAGAATGTAAAAATTAGAAAGTTTATTAAGAAGTTTTTGCATACGTATGTACAATGATCTAATAATTTCCCCCTCGACACACCCCAAGAACATGGCCCTGTAATATTCCATCTGGGCTTAATAGAGAGAGACATGGGGGGGGGGGAGACAGACACTTAGGAATTGGTATATTTGCACGCCTCGTGTAATCCGGAGTTTATAAGTCCAATTATTTTGCCCGCTCAGCGGAGTGCCGGCATCGCACACTGCGTCTTGCCCCCCTCACTGACACGCCGGGGAAATATAGTTGTAATATTTTTTTTCTTATATTGTCAGCATATTTCATGCAGAGAGAGAGAGAGAGAGACTTGAGAATCCCCACCCGTATATATATATTTATGCAGGGCAGGGCTCATTTAATGCGGATGTCAGGTTTAATATATGTGAAATTTTATTCAAATTTTATTCAAATTTTATTGTGAATTTTATTCAAATTTTATTTGTTAAATATCCATCTTTGGCATATAGAAATGCAATGGATTTACAAGTTAAAAATATATACTAAAATACATGTTTAATTAACCTATGAGAATGTAAAAATTAGAAAGTTTATTAAGAAGTTTTTGCATACGTATGTACAATGATCTAATAATTTCCCCCTCGACACACCCCAAGAACATGGCCCTGTAATATTCCATCTGGGCTTAATAGAGAGAGACATGGGAGGGGGGGAGACAGACACTTAGGAATTGGTATATTTGCACGCCTCGTGTAATCCGGAGTTTATAAGTCCAATTATTTTGCCCGCTCAGCGGAGTGCCGGCATCGCACACTGCGTCTTGCCCCCCTCACTGACACGCCGGGGAAATATAGTTGTAATATATTGGACGGTGCTGCGACCCCCCCCCCGGTTGCCCCTGCGTGCCCCTGGACCGGGGGGGGTTGCATGTTCCCGCGCACTGGGGGCGTGGGAATTTCTTATGAACTGCCTGTCTGTATGATGTATTGGCTAGTATGTGAGGCAATTAATATTTCCACAAGAGGAATATTGGAATTTTTTAATCTAATTAATCTCTAATTCTTTCATTCATTCATCTCTAATTAATTGAGATCTAATTGATCCATTTCAGATGGACACATGGCCGGCCTGGTCTTTTCAATTGGAGAGCTGCTCTGCCTGCCGCTGCTGGTACCACTGATTTTTTGTTAGCATATATTGGCCGCAACTTCGACCCGTATGTGTCTCCGAATGCCTTCAACTCCTCGTCCCAAAGCGACTTTGCTGGGCTGGCGGATGATGTCTTGTCGCGAAGGGTACGTTTCACATACAGCCTCTGCATTGCTTTATTTTCTGGCCACACCCTAAGGAGTAATATTAATTGCCTTGCCTACAAGCCAATACATGCACAGTTACAAAATTCTTCCTACATAGATATGTCATTTAGAGAGCAACTTTTTAGGCAAATCTATACCTGCATGACTTTTACACGAGGGGACCAGAGACGCCGCTCGTGATATAGATTTGAAATCAACTATATAGTTGTATATGTAAGTCAGTGTCGCTAATTATACCAAAAAATCTGTTTGTCTGTTAGAAAAAAAAAGTCGAAATCATCCTAGAAGGCTAACCCTGATTTTGACACTGTTTATTTGGGTTAAACACTGATTTCTAGTTACAGTAATATATACATAAAAAAATTACTTTTTTTTAATTTCCATTGCGTTTTTCTATTCTTATTAATGACTTATACTTGTCTCTTATCTGTTGCTTTGTAAAGTCTGTTGCAGACGGGCATGACGTGAAGAAATTGCCGTTATTCAAAGCTGTTATGATTGATTTAATAGGCAAGTTCTCATCTCGTTGCAAATCGGCAACTGCTTCCTTAAACTTACTCTCTTCATCTGCAGTCATTTTCCTGCGACTACGCGTTGTTGCAAATGATTTGGTTGGTGACTGAAGTGATGGTGGTATCGAACACGATGGCAATGATAAATTTGACTCGTTCGCATTTGTAGTGACGGTTGACTTGTCTGGTGTACATGCATAATCCACTGGTTCGTCCGACTGTTGTTCCACGTTGGTATGCACTTGATTTTTTATAAATTTATAGGCGTTGATCGCGTCTTCCGTTCTGTCCTGAAGCGCATAATAGGTATCTGAAGTTGATGGTAAGTGTGTCATTGCATTAGCTAGATGCCCACGTTCTATATTGGCATTGCATTTGCGCGAAAGTTCCCGCTGTGTGGTCACTACAGTCTTGCGAATAAGTGTCGCAGTGAAATTGACATTTGAATTGGGACAAAGACGTGCAGCAATGTTGTTTACTCGAGTCGTAACTTTATTACCAACCAATTGTAGGCCTGACGTTGTGAGAAAGAAATAATTTTCGATTTGTGTTCCTTGTGATGAAGACGTTGCGAAGTTAGGGCGTAGATATCTGAGATAAAGACAGCCCATATCAAAGTCGGATTTACTCCAAACTAATGGTGCTGGTCCATTGCTTGATGTCTTATGTTGCCAGGTGTGTGTTACCATTAGAGATTCCTGTTCACCGTTATCACGAATTTCGGCTCCACGGAATTCGTCCACAGTCAGGTTTGCAATGGCGCCGGGTCGCTGCGCGTTTCTGAGTTGAAGTGATAATATCAGGTAATCTCTGAATTCTATATAAATATTTTCTGTGATAACAGAGTCGGCCGATAGTTTAAGGAAATCATTGCGAATTCGCAAAGACTCGTCACAGTTTAAAACCCCTTGATACGCTTCAGGTGGAATCAACGATTGTTTATCGCGCAATCGCAGTTCGTGCGCCCTACGGCGCTTGTCTTTGTTGATAATTTTGGCCCAATTTTTTATATTTACTAGTGTTGCATCGATTTCGTTTATGTCTTGTTGTTCCATTGTCATCAAACACCTCAGCGATAAAGAATATGACTTGGCGAATTTGAGAAATGAAGTATACGAAGATAAATAATGAGAGAGCGTACCCGGCTGTTTCGGTATTTGTCTCAGGTGGTTACCTTCGAAAAATCGCCGTCTGATCATGGCAACAGACTCCGGTCGCCACAGCAGAGAGCAGTCATTGACATACCCGTCAACCTGGTATAGAAGTCTAGCGACATTGCTCACTTCTTCCTTGGAATAAGTTTTTCGTCCGCCATCGAATGACGTCATGTAGTTTTTAAAGAGGCTAAATATTTTGTTTTTCTTTATTTTGCCTTCCAATTCCCCTTTTACGACCTCTTTAGGACACAGCGGTCCTTGAAGGGGCATTGGGAACGTGGCGTTCCTCAGTTTTGCTCTCCGTCGCATTCCTCGGTATTCCTTGGCCTTTGTCATCAATCTATGTGTTGCATAATTAGAATTAGCTGGTTTTGCAAGCTCTAATTCAAAGACAATTCATTGAACATTTTCAAATGAAAAGGCATGTTTAATTAATAACATACTTACGATATGTATTCCGTTGAATCTCTGTTGAATTTGTGGTAATTTTTTAGATGGTGTCCTATTCGCACAATGTAACGAGAACAATTGTCCACCACGCATGGCTCCAATTCTGCCAGCTTTGAACCCCGGGTTCTATCAACGCGTTGTTGACGCCCCACATTCCTTGCGTGCGTTATGGAAAACCCGTGTACTCTTTGCAAGTGTTGTGGTAAGGCGCATCGCTCTTTATTACATTCAGGGCATCTCTTTTTTGTCTTGAAAAGTACAATATACAAACATATGAATATACGGTCTTGTGGTATAATTATCTTACAAGATCATGTATACCATAAGTCTTCTAAACCACAACGACTGACGTAAGCGGCTAGTGTACTTACCCTTTTCTTTTTGTCTTTTTCAGATATGGTATTATGGACTTGCTAAAAATATGGAAAGCGCATGATGACACGCCGTTGAAGTTCGTCATGATATAGAAGGATTATTCGGGTAATTGTATTACACTACAGTCATAAAAATCTCACACCTTATAACAACTCTGCAACAAGCTGTAAACGAGTTGTTATCGCACCGCTTGTTCCAAGCTGTGCACAAATAGGTGACAATTTGTTAACTTCTAATTATATAACAACCTTGCAGAATTATCAGAGTTGTTGTTGCGAACAAGTCCGGAACGTGCGTGATATAGCAACATTGTTACAATCTGCACAGTCAAAGCGTAGTTTAAATACATACCTCATTCTCCACAAGCGGTAGAATTGCTTCGACCACAGCTGCAACCTGTTTGTCTATATTCTCTACTGTCACTATATCTTCCATTTTGTATAAGACGCGACTGAATTGTAGCTTGTTCCTCCGCGCTACAAAGTTCTAATTAGTTGTGATTGTTCACGTATCGAAACGAGCAAAGGCCGGCATCAGACGTCACCAAATTAGTCGCACGCACTTGTTTGCCTAAGGGGCCGATTACATGGAGCATTTTCAACCCCGGGGTTGAACTCAGCCCTGTTTACCGGGTTGAAATTTCAGCCCTGTCTGTAATACAAAACTCTATCAAAATCAAACGCGCGATTACATGACAAAATTTTCAACCCAGGGCTGAGTTCAACCCCGGGGTTGAAATTTCAACCCTGCTTCAGCTAGCAGGGTTGAAATTTCAACCCCGGGGTTGAACTCAGCCCTGGGTTGAAAATTTTGTCATGTAATTGTTTCAACCCAGGGCTGAAATTATAATGAGTTATTCGAGCATGCGTGGTATAGTAACTATTTATTACAAGAAAACAAAATAAAGGCTTTTTTACTTCCGCGAATCGATGCCGAGAACGTATAGTATAACGTTTTAACCCCGGGGTTGAAATCGTCCATGTAATCGCAAAAAATTTCAACCCGGTTAACAGGGCTGAGTTCAACCCCGGGGTTGAAAATGCTTCATGTAATCGGCCCCTAAATCATGTAGAGGTCAGTGAGGAAATGAGTTTAGATTAATCCTATTTATATATATTCCTTTTGTCTGCTACTTCCAGGCAGTGCTATCCGCCACGGATCACTGGAAATTCAGAGCTGAAGCATATTATTGGAGAAAAACGGAAACGAATGCACAGCACTCTCTATATAATCAGACTCGAACTGGACTAATTAATTACATCAACCTGCTGAAATCGTGATTGCAAGGATAGTATTGGGAGTAAATTGAGACTTTGCGTCGACCATCCCTGAACACGAACACAAATATTCCGCCGAAATGGTAGATTTGAAGTATTTTGTGGTAATCAGAACATATAAATGTAGTTGAATTAAATAATGCTAATGTTTGATATGTCATTTGCAGTTTTATTAAAATTATATTCTTCTATCTGAGATTGATTAATATTGTATATGGTCACTTAACTAGTATTTATATTATGAAATTTTCGGGACTTTGCCACATGACCGCTTAACAAAGGGTGACCGCTTAATACGGTGCCGCTTAATACAGGTTCGACTGTACTATCATTTCATTTCATTGACTTTATTTACCGAGGGTAACACATGACAGTAAGTGGCCCTCATTACTATCCTGAAGACTGCGCAACTAGGGAAGACAGAGGAACTTACAGTATTTACTCGCAGCATTTCGCTTACAATTTGTAATCCTAGTTTAGCATGTAGAAGCAAATCGAACGATTAATCAGCCACGTGGGTGTTGGAAACGTATTTATCATATTTCACGAATCGAATATGCTTGCATTTCATTCTCGATTAAGGGAAATTCACAAACTACTTGTTGTAAATGGATTAAATCGAACGATTAATTAATCAGCACGTCACAGACAATGTGCTGTGGTATTTATCATATTTCACGAATCGAATATGCTTGCATTTCATTCTCGATTAAGGGAAATTCACAAACTACTTGTTGTAAATGGATTAAATCGAACGATTAATCAGCACGTCACAGACAATGTGCTGTGGTATTTATCATATTTCACGAATCGAATATGCTTGCATTTCATTCTCGATTAAGGGAAATTCACAAACTACTTGTTGTAAATGGATTAAATCGAACGATTAATCAGCACGTCACAGACAATGTGCTGTGGTATTTATCATATTTCACGAATCGAATATGCTTGCATTTCATTCTCGATTAAGGGAAATTCACAAACTACTTGTTGTAAATGGATTAAATCGAACGATTAATCAGCACGTCACAGACAATGTGCTGTGGTATTTATCATATTTCACGAATCGAATATGCTTGCATTTCATTCTCGATTAAGGGAAATTCACAAACTACTTGTTGTAAATGGATTAAATCGAACGATTAATCAGCACGTCACAGACAATGTGCTGTGGTATTTATCATATTTCACGAATCGAATATGCTTGCATTTCATTCTCGATTAAGGGAAATTCACAAACTACTTGTTGTAAATGGATTAAATCGAACGATTAATCAGCACGTCACAGACAATGTGCTGTGGTATTTATCATATTTCACGAATCGAATATGCTTGCATTTCATTCTCGATTAAGGGAAATTCACAAACTACTTGTTGTAAATGGATTAAATCGAACGATTAATCAGCACGTCACAGACAATGTGCTGTGGTATTTATCATATTTCACGAATCGAATATGCTTGCATTTCATTCTCGATTAAGGGAAATTCACAAACTACTTGTTGTAAATGGATTAAATCGAACGAATCCGCGACAATATTTGCAGAATTTACGCGAATCGAGCAGAGACAATTCTCGTACCAATTAAGCGCCCATATTCAACTTCTTCAGACCTTGAACGTGGTGTAGTGTATATAATTTACGATAGCATTATTTGGCTAAGGTGTACCATCAATATGTGCTCTATAAATTTGCCAAGTCTGAGATGTGACAAATGCCAGGATCTGGGTTAGGGCTAGGGTTAGGGTTAGGGTTGTCTGTTCTATGGGGGTCATAGGTTGATATGCTCGACCGTATAAATGGCATTTAAAAATCAACTTTTACATTCAACATACCATTTGAGAAAGTTTTTGGTTCCACATATGGCAGTTTAGTGAAATGAAAGAAGAAAAACAACAATACATTTTCCAGGAAAAGAGGAGAATCCTTAATTATTGTCGAATTGTAATTGCTCGCAAACAATTTCTAATTTATAAAGTGGAGTAAGCCGCTTTCACTTGTCGTTGTATTGATTTGGAGTTATCCTAACACTAAATCTGTTGACCGAAAATGCTGACATAGTATAAGAGATGACCAATTATATTCAAACAAATATCAATATTGGTACATTGAAATACCTGAGCATATACATCAATTACAAAACATAAAGTATAGGAAAGGCAATACAATATATAAACTTTCAAATAATTTGGCCAGATTAATTCATGAAATATATCAAAAGTTCTTATATTATAATTATATGACTACTAAAGTTAGACTAGTGACGATTAAATGAAATTGTGACAACAAAGGAACAAGCATTGTTGAAACTAGAGTAATATCCCATCATGTCAAGACTAACACTGTTTTCAACTTCGGAATGGAGTTTAAGTTTGTTCTCACTGGCAATAGCCAGATGAGCAGAATATCCTTCTTTAATTTAACACATGCATAAAAAGAATTTTGCATTCTGACTAAATTGATCAGTTAATTTATTATGCACGTGTTGACGAAGGATGTTCTGCTTGTCTGACCACAGTCCGTAAAAAACAAACTTGAACTCTATTAGTCAATTCAAGGTGGTTCTAAGTTGAAAACAGTGTAGTTGTGACGTAATTAACAGAAAAAGTTTATTGGGTTAGGATTTATTCCGACTTAATTAAATTAACAGACCAATATTTTATCCAATGTTTTTGGCAGAGTTAGAACGTCAAGTTAAGTATGTGTGTGTTGTTTTCATTTTATAGCCTGGATCATAATAACATTTATATGGATTCCTTACGATTTATAAAAAGAAACGAAGAAAATTTTGATTGTTTTATCGAAATTTGTGAGTCAGTGTTTCCGAATACACCCAGGAGTACCGTCCGTAATTGGCTCAAGGCTTTAAAGATCGAAAGCGTTGTTTGTACACCTGACGAAAGGTCGGTTTTTCGGACTGCAAATCCCACCCTCTGTGGAGCGTTTGGTTTAGTATCGCATGCAGATCTAGAGAAACTGATTGAATATCGAAGCAATCGAAGCAAGCAAACCAGTACACTTAACATCAGTTCCAGCAGCATTGCTAGCAGCCCACAGATTTCCACCTGTTCATCGACTTGCAACGTTGAAAGCGACACAGAAAAAAATGACGGTAATTTACTTCAAAACATTGTAATGTATAGTGACTCTGACGAAGACGAACAAGGTCAGAGCGATATTATAATTCAGCATAAGTCACCGGAAAAATGCAACAATGAAAGTTTTGTTAACACTCGTGTGGACCTATCGGTTACAGACAGTCCATTGAAAACAAAGAGGTCAAAAACTGTCTTATCCCCCGAAGAAATTCCTGAAAGCTTAAAAGTTGAAATTCAAAGTTTGAAAGAATTTTGTACGAAACCGTTAAATCCACTTGCTTGTGGACGTAGCATGTCAAATGGAACTGCTAACAAACTTATAGAAAGGTTATTGAGTTTTATGTTTTTTTGTAGTAAAGTTAAGAACAAGTCGGATTTATCTTTATCACTTTTCAATGATCAGGCGCGGATCCAGACCGTGGCAAAAGTGGCTCGAGCCACGGTCAGATTTTTCCCACCTAAGATTTTCCGGGGTTCACCTTTGTTGGATACTACATTAGACTGCTTACGCATTTTTAAGAAGTATATATTAGTTATTTGAAATACAGCAAAATTGAGCAAATATAGGTCTGTAGCAAACAATTTGAATAATATCTTTCGTAATTGTTCTCATATTACAGTAATATGTGCTAAAAGCAGGAAAAACTTCCGAAATATATTCCTTGTTCAATAGTATAATTATCCAGTTAAACACTGAACTATAAAAACCGCCGAAAGCGTGCCGAATTGTGCCGAATATGTTCGGAAAACAGTCGTAAATTCGAAGCTGCGATCACAGCCACAAAATGCCACGGTCAGCGTGCAAAAAATTGCGCAATTGTTACTAAATATAGTAACTTTCTGCCACGGTGCAGCGTTGCAAACCAATCACAGGGCAAGTTGTGGTCATGTGCGCCACGGTCTGCCACGGTGGCTCTGTTTTGATTGCGCAATACAAATGATCAACAATAAAGTTCGATACTTGTCGACTTGACGGGATAAAGAATAATAAATCACAAGCTACATGGATGCTATCAGGATGGAAGCTTTTAAAAAAAGTCGATGTTCTTAGCAAGCTCGTCGAAATCTTTCAACAAGCAAACCTAAGCGAACATATTTCAGGGGAATTATCGCTCTTGAGGCAACAATATGATGAATTTATCACTGAAGAAAGGCTGCGCCGTTGCATCTACTGGCGACATCGTGCTGCCAACGTGCGAATTTTCAAAACTGCAGTTCTCCAAGAGCCAAACTGAAAGATCTGGGCCTAATGTTCCTGTTAGGTAAGAATTTTTAATCGACTTATATTAAATTTGCATTTACGCTGGGGTCAGGGATATAAATTTGTGCATGCAAATTTGTATGTATGTAAATTTTTGTTAGTGAAATAGTAATATGATCTCGAACACATGGCGGTTAATAAAATATAAATTGCATTTATCCGCTATGTAGTCGTGAAATATTAGTAAAAAATCTGTTTAAAACTGTTATCAGTATTTTGCTACAGTTTACGGCTACAACATTTGATTGTCGACTGTAAAATGAAATGTTTACTTCTGTATTGGGTCTACATAGTCGTCTATTTGGTTTCACCAAGCTTTAAATATAGCGCCTTAATATTTGTAGGTTGACCAGGGGTCGGTTATTCTAAGCTAAGGCTAATCCTTGGTTAAAATTTAACCTAGTGTTTTTGTTTGTGTGTTTCTGCATGCCTGTTTACTTCGAAGCTTTGAAGAAAACTTTCATTCATCCAGACAAGATTTCTGAAGAAATATTTCTAAATTGCTTGTGTGATGTTACTCTGAGTGTATATATCCACACCGGGCAGGGTTGAAAAATATGCCTGGCCATGGTGGGATTGGAACCTACGACCTTTGGAATACTAGCCCAATGCTTTGCCAACTGAGCTATGCAGTCAGGTTGGTTTGAGTATGCAATACTTTGGAACTGAGTCTACTGTAGTTCCTTCGATATCAGTGTAATCTAATAATCATGATATTTGCTGTGTTGGACTGTTGGTGTAATGTACTCAGGTGAATAAGATGCTTGTGTGATGTTACTCTGAGTGTATATCCACACCGGGCAGGCTTGAAAAATATGCCTGGCCACAGTGGGATTCAAACCTACAACCTTTGGAATACTAGCCCAATGATCTGCCAAGGAATACTAGCCCAATGCTCTCCCAATGCCTTTGCCAAAGGTCATAGGTTTGAATCCCACCGTGGCCAGGCATATTTTTCAAGCCTGCCCGGTGTGGATATACACTCAGAGTAACATGGCACAATTTGGATTCTTGCACTTCACTTGGTGGAATTAATATTAGAATGTTAGGGTTAGTAATCCAAGTGAGAATATATACATTTTAAGACCTAACCAGGAGCGACTGCGGAAAATGCAGCACAAGGTCCTCTGATAGGAATCGCAGGGCCGTAGGTTCATTTCCTACCAGAGGACCTTGTGCTGCATTTTTTTGCAGTTTCTGGTTAGGTCTTAAAATGTATATATTCTCACTTGGATTACTAACCCTAACATTCTAATAACATCACACAAGCATCTTATTCACCAGAGTACATTACACCAACACAGCAAATATTTTTAACAACTGGCCCCTGGAGGGTGACTACCTCACAGGTGTTTGTTGTGGATGAATATTGATGTTGTTGTGGATGATGTCATCCTGATCCTAATCCTGACATTAAAACCTAATCCCGAATCTAAAACTGCAACAAAATCCCATGAGTTAGTCAAGGCCAGCTGTGAATTTGATGTCATCATGATGTTACTCAAATTACACAAAGACATTGTAGTATGGCTCAATTTCCATATTAATGATTCCAAAATTTAATCTCCAGTCCTTACCTTCAAACCAACTCTAGTTCTATTGGTTACCCTGACTAATTCTAGTAATTATCCTTTTGGCACAAAGTTATGTGGAACGAGACCCATGATTATACAAGCAAAAGGAGGGAAAACATTTGGGAAAACAAATGGTTCCTTGCTATTTCTCAAATGGCAAGGTATAACATTTGTTCTCCAGATAATTTGAGCGAAGTTTGCAAAGTATAATCACATAATTACTGTGTGGTGCAAAGAAGTTGACATTCTGGTTAAAAGTTTCAATAGAATATTTACAAAATAATATAAAATAACCATTGATACTTAAATGCTTAAATTCTTTCAGTACTTCATTGTCTCTTTAATGCATGTTCTATTGCGTTAATCGGGAATGAGAGTTTGTCTGCTCACTTGAGATGCCTCACCAGTATTGAACTGTTTGAGAATGCCAAATACTATACTAACCATCCCCTCATTGAGTCCCAGCATAAAAACGTAATAGCGTTCACTACACTTAAAAAATGCCTCTGCCATGTGTGTATCTGATGCAGCTCTTACTTTTTTCGACAATTGTATTGAAATGCAGCAGTTTTAGAAGAAGCAAAGGAAACTGCAAAAAATTACACATTCTCATCCATGGTGTGCATGTTTGCCTTGTCCACAGTAATTCAGTGTGCCATTCAGTCATTCTACCCACTCACCAATGATACTGTAGCGAAAGAAAATTGGGATTCCTTGGATTCAATTGTACAATACAGTATATCTACGGGATTATCTTGATGGCAGTGCAATTGAATATGTCCATATCTTTCATTGTGCTGCGATGCCACCGTCTTATTTGGTTGATCGAAGAATTCTATCTACCAAAAATCATTTTGTTTCCTTGTGCAAACCAGTTAAAGCACTTCAGCCACGAGACCATTATTTTAAAGCACACCTTCCAACCTTATTGAAGTCTGCGATGCCAGTTCATCCTAAAGTTCCTCCTACAGTTTCTCCTAAAGTTTCTACTAAAGTTTTTTCTGCTCCTTCCTCTACACAAGTGACTACATTTGCTAAAAAGCAGACGACTGGTCCAAAAAGAAAACAAATTAGCTTAGATCGATGCGCTTCTTGTGAAACGAGCGTGCAACACACAAGAAACTGTAGACAGTGAAATCAAATTTCCCAGCACTAGTAAAGGAATTTCATCTGTAACTCCCAACACTGGTCCTACTTCAGAAAAATCTAACACCAAAACACAACGAACTTCCACCAATTCGTGGCCAGATGATATCTACAACTACGTAAATCTGGTGTCCAGTCTTCCTGATTCGAAAAAGTACGAAATTCTGTGCAATCATTGCCATTGGAAACCTGGTTCTGATTTTTCTTTTCCTCCACGCGAAAATATTGGTAGACGTTTCCGGTTGGCATGGTTATCACGATTTCCATGGTTGGCTTACTCTGCTGTGGCAAACGGTGGTTTTTGCGTCACTTGTGTTCTTTTTGGCAGTGAAAGCACGCATAATGCAAGCGAGCTCCAACTATTGATGACCAGTGCTCTTCCTCCAAGTGCTTCTGCTGTCCAGAAACTATGTCAGCATGGTGAAAAATCCAATGTTCACGCAACGGCAACTTTCCGTGCTACACAGTTTAAGCGAATGATCGAGAATAAGACACTTGGTATCGATGCATGTGCAGCTGAAAAAACCCACCCCGTAAAAGACCTGCGTTGCAACTAAAACGCCAAGATGATTGAGTTCGATGTACAGCCCTAATTGGATATTTTTTGCTACAAAGAACCTGAAATACACAGGAACAGTACATGCGGTACAGAGTTGTGGTTTTATGTAAGTACAGTGATTTTGTAACATTCTAATGTTGTAACGTTGAAGAACATGGTATGTTGTTTAAATATTTGACTTATTTAGTGCGTTTCGTTATTTGCTCTCTAAAATATGGCGTAATTAATGACGAATTATATGATAGAATTCGATGCTCAGAACTCAGGAAATGGCATTTCCGGGGTTCAAATTTCAAAAATTTTCCGGGGGGGAATGCCCCCGGACCCCCCTAATTATTGACGGTTTTGGAGTGCGCCACGGTCACGGTTTAGGCTGGATCCGCGCCTGATGATAGTGAGCTGTTCACGAGTTTTATCGAATATCTCAGGGATGTAAGAAAACTTAAGCCTTCGACAATAGCTAATTTTCTAGATGTAGCCATTAGTGTAGTGAAGTATAATGTTGTTACTAATGACGCGACTGCAGACCCTGAAAATGCGCCTCAAATTAAGGCATATCGCTCTTTCCAGCGTCGATTTTTAAAGGACGCTTATCAACTTTCAAAACGCGAGAAGGAAGGTTTCAGCAAAAAGTCCAGCCAACAATTTTATTTTGCGCACGTCCTGGAAACGCTTAGAAATCTAAGAGACAAGTATTTAGAATGCGGCGGGGGCGTAAAAAAATTTAGGCACCTTCATGATTTTGTACTTTTAGCATTGTATCTTCGGGCTATGCCAGGTAGGTCCAAGGAACTGCGCACGCTACAGTTGCATGATGAAGCTGAGAAAGGGCATCAATTCGATTACTCCAGTTTTGAGCGTGGAAATTTTGTCATATTTGATCTCAATCAAAAGGTTTTTATTGTCCAGTCCGAATTCAAAACAAGCAAAACGACAGGTCCAATCAAGTTAGACATATCCGATGATAACGAATTAACTTACTATCTTCGATTGTACGTTCAGGCAAGGCACACGTTAATGCTGGGAAAAAGTCACGATTATTTTTTTTGCAATAAATACGGCCATCCGTTTGCGTGCAGTAGCGCAATTGCAAAGTATTTACAAGATATATTTGAGCGCGAGGTTTCGATCAGAGCAAGCACAACCGCGATGAGGCATGCCATTGTTACATACTTTAACAGCATTGACGAATCAAAGGATGTTAATTTGCGCAAGAGCTTAGCAGCGCTCATGAAGCACTCGGTACGTTATCAAGAAACAGTGTATTGCGACCAGACTCACGACGAAAAAACTAAGGCAGGTAGATCTCTGATGCGCGATAGTCTGGCAGCCGATGTATTTGGAGAGCGCGACGACATTGCAGCGGTGTCGGCAGAATCTAGCGACGAAAATTCAAGCAGCGATGAAATCGACCTAGTCCCGCAAACAGGCGATATCGTAGCACTGTTAGATCCGGCAGCAAGTAAAACCGATATTTCTTTTTTTATTGCGAAAGTAGCTAGGTATACAAAGGATCGCCGTGAAGCACATTTGATTCACTTAGAGCAGGTAGAAGGTTCAAATAATTTTTACGTACTAAAACCAGGCAGAGTTTGGACAGAGAGTTTAAAAGCATTGATATTTCCTATTGACATTGTGTATGACTCGTCCAAAAAGGCATACGAGTTAAGAACGACGCCTGATTGCTTGTATAAATACGTCCATGGTTGAAGCTTCTGTATGATTGTAAAATCGCATGGCGTTTCACTTCAAAAATTCCACACACCTTGAAGAGAAGTGCGTATAAAAAAGTGAAAAAACTACTGAGCATTTTTCTAACGGAAAGGTTATATCTCAAAGAAAATTAAAGCGAAATTAAATCATTTTCGAAGTTTAAAAAATGTGAAAAGTAAAAAAAAAACTGAAACAAAATTTCCTCTACAAAATCTCCACGGATTAATCAGGGAACTTTTTATGGTTTGAAAATCTCGTACACTTTTCTTTTGGAGTTTTTTTTTTGAGTGACACGCCCCTCGGTGTTTATAAGGCGGCGCTGTTACACTATAGAAGTTATCACGCCGCTTGTCTTGCAATTTTGTTGGGCCAAGTTACACGCGAAATTACAAGGTGTAAAATGCCTTACAATCATCAAGTCTCGCAACATTTTGGTTACAACAAGCATTGTACGATTGCAATGCAATATTAAAATTGTTCTTGTTAACATTGCGAGACAAGTTGCGAGACAAATTGCGTGGTGTTAACAGCGCTTATAATGTTATAGTGACAGAAAAAGCACAGGGCAAGAAAAGAGTGTTTCCAATATAATCACGATTGTACAACTTACCATAAAATTAAGGAAAGTTTGTTTCTTGGCAAAAAAGTTCGACGCGTGTTTCCTATCCTAGACTTTCAAATGCAAAATTGCTGTTGTATTTTACAGGATGCATATACTAGAAATATGCTTCATTTTATATTTAAAATTGGCCGCTTTTCAAGTCCTGTGTTAACTGTTATATCGTTAATTTGATAATATTAAAAATGATTGTACATTGTTGCATGCATGCATTTTGGGAAAACACGGGGATATATCAAGCAAAACCTAACCAATAGATACTATGTTACATTAATGTTATGTTAAGGTGATGAACTCTTCTCGAGATCACATATATACTTAGTGGGAAAATATGTTATTTGTACGCACCCAGAATTTTTGTAAAAATAAAAACGTGCAAGAAACCTTTGCCTTATCTTGTGTGTTTTTTTCATTTATGACATTTCCCATATTCAACTCCTTCAGGTCTGGACCGTGGTGTAATGTATTTAATTTACGATAGCATTATGTATATAAGGTGTACCATCAATTTGTGCCCTATCAATTTGCTTAGTCTGGAATGCGAGAAATGCCAGGATCTGGGTTAATTTTTGGCACAGGATTAGGGTTAGGGCCCACACAGACCGAATGCGATTCGACAACGCGACGCGAATTTTCAGTTTAAAAAAAAAACAACCGTCAACGGATAAAAATTTCACAAGATATGCAGACCAAATAGCTAAAATTGCTTAAGTTGTTACAAATATTTGAAAAACATTGAAAAATATTAAAGTTAAATATCATCGAAAATTGAAAATTGGCGACGCCCTAGCCAATTCGCGTCCGGTGTGTATTCCATCATAGGAATGTACCAGTTGTGACTCTCGATATTTTTAATACGGACACGCTAATTTGTGAATATGTCGATTATCCAGAGGAGGTTGGACAGCAGGCCGCAAAGCATCATGGGTATTGAGCGCCTAATTCCACGCGTGACTTTCATTGACTGTTGACTGTCGAGGAGTGAACATCTCTCTGACTACAAAACCAATATGGAAGCTTTCGAACGACAAGAATGTCAGACTGCGATATTTTGTGAAAACAGCATGTTGCGATCATCATTATGACTTGTGTTTTACTATATCAAGTTTACCTTTTTTTAAATTGCATGGGACGTGCTGTAATTTTAGCTTTATAAAGACTATAAATAATACGTCTTAGAAAAGGAATTGTGTTTAATTTAATATATTCCCAATAGCGAGGCTCTTCTTTCTAAGTTGGATGGCGTTAAATTTCCGTGTATCATGAACGTGAAAACAAGCGCAGTATTTAAGGTTGGTATACTACAATGCATTACAGTTATCGTGTTATTTTATAATCAAATTTCCGCTTTGTTGTTTTTATTTCACTTGTACTTTTTGTGTTTATAATGCCTCTAGTTTGACCCTATTGTGTGTGTATATGTACTGT